ATGGTTGCGGATTCTGTCTTAAGGAGGAACCCTGGTGAAAAAATGGCCAAAAGTGCCAAAAATAGTATTTTCAAAGTTCATAGATAACAATGTGCATAGACGGTTCCAGATTAAACTGATTGAACATCATTAACCCTGTAACAGCCAATGTAGCCATTTGGCTACAACTCATAAATTTTGTGCGAGAGTTTGCCACTGATAATCAAATTGGGTTTGGCACATTTTTGTCTGAGAGGAAAAATTACAGTTACCCGGAACTGCCAATGTAGCCATTTGGCTACAACTGAAAAAATCCACTGTTAGCGGCTCTGAAATTCGGTTTGATGGCTTGTTCCGGTGTCAAGGGAAGGCCAGAATGATTCTTCATTATTCTATTTATAAATTGCTTTCCAAAAGCAATTAGCTTGCTCTTAAATTCACGACAAAAATGTTAAGACCCACACCGGGAGCAGCCAATGTAGCCATTTGGCTACAACTCTAAAAAGCCACCGGATGAAGATAGAACTTTGGGGTTTGGTTTTTTAACATTAATTAGACCCCAATGGTTAGAAAATGACATTAATTACTATGAATTCAATCTTGGACGTGCCTTGGTAGTTCAAGGGTTAAGTTAAGTAGGTAGTTTCTTTTTTATTTAAAAGGAAATAACATTGAGATAAGTTGTCGTTGGCTTACACGCTCAACTTCACAGCTTTTCTCAGTCGACAAAAAATTTTGTCGTAGAAAGACGTCCTGCGTTCATGGTTGACACATACATGAGTCGTCTTGAATGGACTCTATTCTTTGATGACTTGTCGACAAATTTCAGTGACAGAATTTTAATTTAGGGCGCGGGGTCACCCCCCGGAGTTGCAACGTTGGGGCCGCGCGGGTCCGGCCCCCGCGCGGGGTATAGCCGGGGCTGCTTTGGTCAATACTCCCATCTCATCTCCTTTGCTAAAAGTGTGGCACTTTCCCGAGAGAGAGCACCACTGTCAGCTACTTGCAAAAAAAAATGAGGACCAAATCCAGGTGACAAAGTCCTATCCTCCATGTGCATTTCCTTATTGTCGGCTCAGCCTGTTTTGGCAGTGTAGATGCCGGGGCAGCCGAGACGATCTCCGTCATACCCTCGTCAAAGTGCACAAAGACGGCTTGACAGGTGGCTCTCTGCGGGCGTGCAGCAACGAACTCTTTCTTCAAATTTCAAATTTTCGAATACGAACATGTTGTAGCTGTGTTCCTTGTTTCATTGCGGTTTCGGCGGTATAAAACTTTATCCAAATAGAGGAAAATTGAATGCTCGCCATCCTGCCCCCATCCGAGAAGTGGGCCGTCTGGGGCTGCCCCAGTGGCCGGGCGCGCTGCCGGTCCTCGCCTCCGAATCCTGGCGACTGCAGCGGGGGGAGGGGAGGGGGCACACGCGTCGGAGACAATAGATCGGAATGCAGCCAGGTGTCCATCACAAACTTGTCACGCCGCACCGGCCAACCTCCGTGCAGTTCCGAAAACCTCCGCCGCGCCACCTCTCAGAGCGCCACGAGTCGACCGCCAAATTCAAAACGAGTAAGAGCAGGGAAAAACAGTGCTTTTTTTGTGCAGCTCACCCTCAGAAAGTATCGATACCACAAAAAATCTGAAGGTAGATTTGTGCAGGGGAAAGACGTGCGCACACGTTGTGGTACCTCTGGAAACGAAATTCAAGGGGCATGTCTGTCAAATCTGGAGTTGAACTTTGACCCAATTTTGGTCCAACTTTGACCAACTTTTTGGACTACATGGAGCTTCGCCACGAACTTCGGAGGTACCACAACGGATAGGCGCTCATTTTTACTGCCGAAATATGTTTTTAGTTTTGGTCTACGTTTCGTACTTTTGGTGGGTGAGCTGCACAAAGATTGAACAGTTCAACGCTCAATATCTTTGTTCAAATTTGAACCAGCGCCAAAAAAATTTGTGGGGTGCATCAGAAGTGTGTTCCGAACATGTGTACAAAATTTGAGCCTAATCCGTTAACTTCAGTTTTAGGTGATCCCGCGCCTTAGGCTCTACTTTATTTTACAAACACAAAAACGTTTGAAAAGTAAGAAAAAAAACTCACTTTTTTGAAATGTTAAAATTTGAAAATTTGTATCTTAGGACAGAAGTTGAATTGGAAAATTCCGTCACTGGCATCTCTTGTATACATCTTTGGGATAACCCAAAAAAATCAATAAAAGACGCACGAAGATTTTTCCCCAACGCTCTAAAAAACACTTAAGTGGCACCCAGAGACCGTTCAACATTTTGGACTGAATTTTCCTTTGGGAACTCACCATAATGAACCTAATAATTAAGCAAAGGTTCAACTTTGTGGGATTATTTTAAAGCCTACTTCAAAGTTTCACCAGGGTCCCCCCTTAAATTTATCGTGCGTTCCAGGTAGTGCACGTGACGCTAGCTCTGGTGTCCGCTGCCCTGCTCCGCACCCTGGCCCTCGCAGTCAAGAACGCCCGCAGCCGCGTGCAGCTGCACTCGGTGCTGGACCACCACCGCGCCCTTCTCCAGGTACGCGGCCCTTAATCCCGCATAAGTTTGCCGAAGTACCCGACGTGGAATGCAGTCGCCCGGTACACCATCACTGTAAAAATTTGTTGTAACTTTAGGAAAATACGTGGATGACATTTTCATCAAAGCTCTACTTTTAGCAGGGGCGTGACAACAATGTCATCAATTGATTTGATGACATCCTTGTAAGGAAAATTAGCCTTGAAATTGTCATGAAGTGACGACTCAAGTTTTCACAGTGTTGTGACGGGACACTGAAACGGTGTGCTGGCCCAGGTCGACTGTGGGCCGGAAGACCTGCGCCGCCTAGAAGCGTTTTGAGCTCCAAAGTCGCTAATTGAGCCGACAGGGATCCTTAACTTGAGATAACCTTAGCGCTGCTCTCTTAACGTCGACGTCTCCAAAAATTATGGACTGTTGCAAGTACTTTCCAAATACAAATTCGAGGATCTATAGAAATAACCCAACCTTTTAAAACGAAGTAATGAGTTACGGGTTTATAACGTAAACGCTTTCTATACCGTTCACGAGGGTGGGGTTCGGTGGGGTCACGGTTCAAGTCCTGTTTAGCGACTCTGGAGCCGAAAACGCGTCCGTGATTTTGACCGCCCTTGCCGGTCTTCTGGCCCACTGTGCAGGTGGTGGACCGCTTCAGCCGCGTGTTCGCGGCGCCGCTGTTCCACATGCACGCCGGCATCCTGGCCTTCGAGCTGCTCGCCACCACGTGGGTGGTCAAGGGCCACCGCGAGCTGCACGTGGTGGGCCTGGTGCCCGTCGCCTTCGCCTACCCCGCCGTGCTGGCACTGGAGGGCGACCTGGTGCAGGAGTCGGCCGCGCTGGTGCTGCTGATGGCCTACGACAGCCCGTGGCCAGGCCGGCTGTTCCAGGGCGGTGCGGGGCTGGCCTTCAACAGGGACGTGCTGGCCGTCATGCTGCGGGCCTCCAAGCCTGTCAAGCTCCAGGCTCGTTGGCTGGGGTCGCTGTCCCTCCCCACGCTGCACAGTATGCTTAAGAGCTGGTACTCATTCACGCAGACCTACTCGCGACTTACGTAAGAGGACGTACATTCATCTTCTCCTAGAAGTCCGATCCTGGTATTCGATCGATGACGATGTTCTCCAATGTTGTGGCCAAGGGTAGCCATCGGATCTTAGATCGGGCCCGAAATTTAAGGGGGCTCTTTTTAGGGGGTTTTCCGCCACTCTTTTGATAGCGATGATTTTTTTAAAAAATATATGTTTTAGAGACGAACGGTAAAAACCAAATAAAAGAATGGAATTTTTACAACATTTTCAAAACAATGAGTTTTGTTCTGTCTTTAGTTGTAAGGGAGTTAGGGAATGCAACAAAAGCCGACAAAAAGATTTCACTGCGGGACACTTTCCTCCGGAAGTTCTTAACTTTTTGGCAATCTGTTCGCGGCATTTTTAAGATGATAAAATTTTCTTTACTTTGGTCTACAATCATCCATCCCTATAGCCCAAGGAAAACATTTCTTATAAACGTATTCAAACATATCTACAGACTTTATTATGGTTTTAAACATGCAGAAAATCTGACAACATAAAATTCTGTTTTTAATATCGATTACATTATTGTTTTCACACAAGAAAGTTGTAATAAAACAAAAGAGTTGTCTATTGGATGGATATACTGTTCAGACATCAAACAGACGTGTTGTTATATAACAACATCCCTGTAGGATAACAGTGTAGGGATCGACAATTCATACCATTTGCACAGTGAAAAGCAGGACACCCTTGTATTTGAGTGCTAAACATCAGTAACATACAAATTGATAAAAAGGGACATAAAAAGCAAGCGAAATGAAAATACAGGACAGTAAAACAGATGGTAGCAGATACCAAATATTGTACCAACAGTAACGTTTAAGGCAACAATTCAGAACTTTGTGCCATAGGTCCTGTGGAACTGCATCACTTCTGTCATGTCTTTTCAGAAACTGATGGCTGCCCCGTCGTGAGAGTTGATCGTTGTTGACAGTACACCGACACTGCATGGATCTGGAAAGAGAAAAACAAGACAGGTATAATCAACAAGTAAGAAGTCAGTGAATAATCCACTTTGGTATCAACGCTCCTTGTGTTATCAGTGGAGATATCGAAAAGAAATGCACGCTCTAAGAAAATTAGAATAAAAACTTTGAAAAGGTCTTCTTTGAAAAAGAACGGTAAGTAGACTGAATTGCTATACCATGGGTTACCATATTATTTTTTTTTTCTTTTGCTTTCATCTTTCATCATCAATATTTTTGTGATTTGAGGAAAATGTACGGTGAAATAAGAAATGAAATAAATAAATTTACATACATCACAAACAGGAATAGTAGATCAAGCCTTTGAAGCTTAGAGGCCGTTTAACAACAGTTGGTTCCAACTGGGTCCTCGGAAAAGAGTTTGCAGGATGTTTCTGTGTCGGTCAGCTTTAATTCCAGTCCTTTTGAAAAAGTTCTCGCGGAAGTCCCCTTCAATACATCCTCCGTCACACTTGCAACCCAAAATGCATTTGCCCTTTCCACAATAGGTTCCTGTTGGTGGCTTGCCATCTCCACAAACGTCAACTTCACACATTCGTGCAATAGGTTGAGTGCTGTAAAAAATAAATTGTATTAAGACTTATTAAGAATTACAAATATCTGCACGACGGTAACATCAAATACGGTAACACGACGGTTCACACCAATTTTTTCACATATTGAAGTTTCGCCTAATGTAATTTCGCATAGACAGTTTCACACAAATTTTTTTCACACAAATTTCTTTTCACCTACAATGCTAGTTGACACACATTTATTTCGAAGGGTTTCAAGGGGCACGAGGCCACTAGCCACCAACGCCACAAGCCATCCAGGCCACTACGTAAAATTGTGGCCACTGCGAGCCAAATACTCCAGGAAGCGGCCGTCTTCTAGGGATATAGTTCGGTAACGAATCGAATCAGGGGTGATTCGATTCGGGGACTGATATCTTTGCTTTGACCCAGAACATTCGGAATTTCGAATAGACGTTGGTTCCTCTTCGAATCGGTTGCCCGGGACCGGTTGAAAGACGCGCGCACAGTGCTTAGCGTTGTTTTTATATTGAAGTAAGATCAGATTTTTTTAAAATTCCTGCTCTATGTTCTTTCTTTATATAGAAAATGTGTTTTGAAACACGCCATTTTGAGGATTTTTTTTCTTTGTTTCAGTTCGAATTTGATTCGATTCTTAATCTTTAAACTTCGGATCGATTTAATTAAACAACTTATTCGATTCGAAACTTCTTTTTTAGATTCAATTCGAGTTTGATTCGAAATGAAAATCCTTGATCCGCACATCCTTACCGTCTTCCCTGTAGTCTTCGTACTCTAGGGCCGCCATCTGGAGAGTCAATCGGCAAGGAACTGCTCACACAAAAATTGCGTGAACAATGTGTAAACCGTTGTAAATGTGAAATGGTACTTTGTGTCAAAAAATTTGTGTGAAACCGTCTATATGAAATAACATTAGGCAAAACTTCAGTATGTGAAATAGTTTGTGTGAACCGTCGTAGAACCTCAAATACATACGGAATCGCCAATGGTCCACTAGGCAGAAAATGCATTCTGTAACCCTTGCAATTATCTGTCCCTGCAGCATCGAACAGGAGTGTCTCTGACAAGCAACATTCCGATTTTACCAACCCTGCCGTGCCAAGCACTACTGCGAGAAGGAGGACCTTCATTTCTGAAAATTAGGAAGCACAGATTTAATTTGGTATCAACATTCTGATGCCTAGCAGACGCAGTGTTCTCGTGGGAACTTCGCGCATTACACCTAAATTCACTTAATTTATAAACTTAATTTAGATTTAATTTGAACGGTGCGCTAGTTGAACAGCGCCTCTCTGTTTCTAAACTCAAGGAGCCCCCGGTAGATTGTCTACACAACTTATGGCCGATTCTGCAACGTCTGCTAGACCTCTATTCGTAGTTGACATCTGTAAAGAGACATACATCCGACGAACTTTATGTTGCGTTGCCCCTATGCCATAGTAGCGCAACATGAAGAAAGATTGAAACGCGTGTTGCGTACCCGCTACCGAAGGCAGTTTTTTTTTCGGAGTGCATTTTCTGCAGGGAATGCGCTGGTGTCGGAGCTGTCATCATGCTCATTTGTAACCAAGCAGTTTGTTATTTTTCTTCTAATTTATACCTAGTGAGAATTGTACCTGGTGGGAATTATACTTACTAACACACATAAACACCGGGGAAACTTCAACCAACAACAGGTTTAATGCCCCATCAGGTAAAATGTTCTTTAGATATTATTGGCAACACGCATAATTGTCATCACGTACAATGAACTTATTTTACGCAAATTGACGCCTATGGAGTTTACATTTTGAAGCAAGGAAATAACCACAACAAAAGTACACAAATTTCTGGCAAATTTTTTATCAGGAATTTATTGTACTTTTCAAGTACAACCATTGTTGTGCAAAGTACAATGGAACCGGCATGACGAGTGCTGTGCAGTCCAGGGCTTGGTTTGTACAATTCTCGTTGTACTTTCTACAATCCCTGTTGTACTTTTATTGTACAGTTTTTGTTGTACTTTTGTTGTACTATCCACACTTTTTCCTGCAGTGTGTGTACCTGGTTTGCAGCCGTATGTTTTGCAACAGTAGAACGCGCATACACAGCTGACTAAAGGACCAACAAAGCATTGTTCTTATCCACATTTCTTAAGTTTGTCACACAGGGGATCCGTAGCAAATCGGGTATGGAGTTTACATACACAAAAAATACGCGACCCCCTTTTCGAAATTTGGGTACCAATCTGATGCTATTCATTGGACATGATACATCTCTCAAACTTCGTGTCTAGAAGTGTTTTTCCATCCGGCATCCATTGCAGCTCTCAGATTGAGGCTGCGACTTCCCCTCTGACTCGTGAAGTGCCTAACTCGTTGCAGTGGACAGGTGAGTTAGTGGGAATTAAAAACGTCGGGTCAAATGTTAATTCTGCGCTGGCACGAAGCTTTAATACTAAAATGAAAGTCATCAAGATTAACTGGAAGTATGGGAGTGCCTTATCAAATAGAGCCCTCGTGAACGATTGTCTTGAGTGTCGTTTAGACATGCGAAAGGCGCAAACTTAGGACAGCTACGGAGTTTACATTTTTCACCTTTCGGAGGTCACAGCCACCCGAAAACCTCATAAATTTTCAAACCAAATAGTGGATTATTTCAAAGCACAAAAAGTACCATCTCATCGCGCAAACCGCGTCTCTCTGGGACGAACCGTTTGGTCACGAAGGGGCAGGAACATGTAATAACATTTCTGTAGAATGACCAATCTGATGGCAATAATACCTGGTTGGCTTATACCTGGTGAGACTGCATACGAGCTGACATCGCCTCTTACAATTAAGTTTATTCCATTCTAACTTATCAAAATGGGAACACCATGCAATGCGGACACACTAAAGTACTATGCAGGTTTTTCTGCGCGCGAATGCACAAAATTAAACATGCACTTCGTGACGCACGAATTTGTGCGCGACAATGCACGATTTCCCGCGCAAGTATGCATTAAATTGTGCATTGTCGCGCACAAATTTGTACGTTTTGAAGTGGATGTGTAATTTCGTGCATTGGCGCGCAGAAAAACCTACATAGTAATTAAGTGAGTAGCGTTGGAATTGATGCTGATTTTGAACATGCACTATAATGTTAAAAACAAAAAACAAAAAAAAACACGCAACGTTTAAGGGGGGACTATACTGAAAATGGGTTTTTCCAGGATTACCAGTGCAGGAATTTTCTCTTGTTTTCCTTTGATAGAATATTACTCAAAACTATTTCAGCCGAAGTATGAAAATTTTCGGCCAAACGGTTTAGGAGATATTCAAAGGTAAAGTTAAAAATATATGTTCACTAAAAAGTTCCCTTGCGTCGTATTTTTGATGTCAGAAAATTCGACTTATCGTTTTTATTGTCCTAAAGACCTGTTCTACAGGTTCTCTAAGCCGCTTTTTTTCATTTTCGATCTCAAAATCTTTTTTTTTATACGCGCTTTTTTTACAAACAAAAAAATGGTCAAAATTGCTTAAAATTGACCAAAAACTGACCATTCTCTAGTGACATTAAAAAATTCTGACCAAAATTCAGAAATCCGGCTTAGAGACCCTGTGGGGAACAGCTTAAGGAACATCTGGTAAAAATTTTAGCCACGTAGATAAAAATTTATGACGCAAGGAACTTTTTTAACGTTAAAACTAAAATTTTGACAAAACACGAGAAAACGTACACTTTGCGTGGGTCTACGCGACGCTGCGTTCCTTCCGTCGGCTTTTAAAGATTCTTAATATATTTTGTGAGAAGGAACAATGGCTGTACCGGCTAGACAAAGGTCTTAACAAGGTATTTTCGTGTAAATCCAATTTCACATTTTTTGACCGAAAACGGCCATTTTTTCAGTATAGTCTCCCCTTAAAGGGCTCTACCGGATTTAAAGTCTTTCAAAAATGAACATTCTAACCCAAAATTCAAAATTTTGAACAAACTATAATTTATGAATAAAATTTCAAATAGAAACGGTTTTTCTGCATAGCTTATGCATCAAAAACTACATAGCAATTTTGTGTGTGAGATGGTGCGTACCTTGAGCTGATGGCTGATGGTGTTGTTGGTTGAATCTTGCTTAACTGGGGCAAGACGCATACTGGCGTCTCTGGACGACTGCCTCTGCCTTTTATAGTCTTCAGAGACCATCTCTTGAGATATTCTCTCTTGAAAGGCCGGGAGGTCAAGAGAGAATATCTCACTGATAAAGCTTTCCTGCCCAGTTGCGACGACCTTCCAAAACGCAGTTTCCTGCTTTAGCCAGGGTGGAGAGAGAAGTATGCGTGATACCGCACGATGAACCCCGAAAAGACAGATAAAAGACGTGGCGAGAACTGTGTCTCTGTAGGCAGCCAAGCAGGAGGCAGGTCAGAGTAAGAGTGACGGAGGAATTTCATGAGCGTTTTCGCCGTAAACAGGGTTGCCACAAGCCTGGAAAACCTTGAAAACCTGGAAAAGTCAGTTATTTTGAAAACGGTCAGGGAAGTCAGGGAAAAGTCAGGGAAAATGAAATGGAGTCAGGGAAAAACGGACTAGACACTTCTAGACACCTATTTCGTTCGTAAAATTCATCATTTATTCTACCCGACTGCTTAAAAAAGGGCCCAAAAAAGTCAGGGAAGAACAGGGAAAAAGGGTCTGGGAGTCAGGGAAAAGTCAGGGAAAATTAAAATTTCATTTTTGTGGCAACCCTGGTAAAAGAGCATGATTTGCGGAACTTTTAACAATGGCACCCAGGGAAGTCAGATAAAGAGAAAGACAAGGTAGGTGTACGCCAGACCGTGTCTTGTCGTAAACGGCTTCGCGATGCTGCGCTAGTCACGACAATCAACGCGGCCCACTCCTAGAAGGGAATGTTTTCAGGTGTCATTAGCCGATTGCCCTCATACTTCGGGATTCAAGGCCGCCCGGATTTGGATTCTACGTCGAAGAAAATAAACCTGTGCTTTTTCCCTTGGAAAAAATAATCTTTAGGACCTCCGCCGAGCCCTCCAAGTTTTAAACAGTGCTGTAAAATAAAAAAAATCGTATCTTGGCCATTTTTTGGCCGATTTAAAAAAATAAGGATTGACTTGCTTTAAAACGCTTATTAAAATCAAAACGTGCTGAGCCCGCTTGTAGTTCGCCTATTTTACAGGGGCCAAAATTATCTAAATTTCGGTCCGAATAGGCGCGGGTATATTGCGAACCAAAAACTCGGCGCTCGTGCCGTGACGTCATCCACCGTGCGATGTCGCTCAAATTTATTTGACGAGATCTACAAATTTTGCCTGATACTTTTTTGCGCCGACGCTTTGTTTGCCTGCGAGGAGCGCTTTACAAGGTAACCGGGACCGCCCCTGCGGTGGCTTCGACGCGCCGGCGCACAGTGGGATGAAATACGAAAAACGCGATGATAATTCCAGAGGGCTCAGATGAATTTCAAAATCTTATCTCGATCGTTTGGGGGTATGAAAAACTCATTTCTTACAAAATCAACAACCAAAATATAACGCAAGGGGAGGATCCAGCGATTGATGTCCACTTGATGTTCAGCTAATGCGAGCCGCTGCAACTGGCCGCGCCGCGTTGACGTTTCGCATTAGCAAAAATTCTCTGCGATTTTGGCACAAAGGAAGTATCTTCTGAGCTTGATCAAAAAATTAAAATAATCGAGGGGGAAATCACTCTTAAAAACTGTGACCCGACTACTCCCTATTACGTTCTATTACGCCATTACAGAAGGCTTATTACGCTCGAAAATATCCAGATTTAGGCTAAAATCGGAATCTTCTTAGAGAAAATTTTAAAAAATTTGGCTATTACGCTATTTCTATTATGCGTAATACTAGGAATCGGTGACCCGACTATTACGCGAGTGATTTCCCCCTCGAAAAAATGAACGAGGGAACTGCCTACGAACGAGACTGACTGTGCCACCGAAGGCCTAAAGTAGTTTGTGAGGTTTTCCTCATTAAGTGTAGAGAAGATCCTCTATATTATGCTAATAATTCGATATGTAACGGTGGTGCAGCTGACTTTACAACATACCATTGAGAATCCCTGTACCTTATGGATATTTTGATGAATTTCGTTTGTAATATGGACAAAATCTTCACCATAATGTTGGTGCAGCCTTCCACCGTAAGACTCAGAGTGTGTGTGTGCACAACTGCTAATCCATAGTACACAATGCTGAAAACTTCAGACTAAGAGCAGAATTTATTCCTACCGCTCTCAGGTTTCGGCGTACGAACAAGTCGGAGTGTCATGCTAAAACCCAATCGCTAAAGGTCTGATCGACCTAACAGCGCTGATGATGATGATCCCGAAAGCGGTACATTGATATCCACTTGATGTTCAGCTAATGCGAGCCGCTGCAACTGGCCGCGCCGCGTTGACGTTTCGCATTAGCAAAAATTCTCTGCGATTTTGGCACAAAGGAAGTATCTTCTGAGCTTGATCAAAAAATTAAAATAATCGAGGGGGAAATCAGTCTTAAAAACTGTGACCCGACTACTCCCTATTACGTTCTATTACGCCATTACAGAAGGCTTATTACGCTCGAAAATATCCAGATTTAGGCTAAAATCGGAATCTTCTTAGAGAAAATTTTAAAAAATTTGGCTATTACGCTATTTCTATTATGCGTAATACTAGGAATCGGTGACCCGACTATTACGCGAGTGATTTCCCCCTCGAAAAAAATGAACGAGGGAACTGCCTACAAACGAGACTGACTTGCCACCGAAGGCCTAAAGTAGTTTGTGAGGTTTTCTCATTAAGTGTAGAGAAGATCCTCTATATTATGCTAATAATTCGATATGTAACGGTGGTGCAGCTGACTTTACAACATACTATTGAGAATTCACTGTACCTTATGGATATTTTGATGAATTTCGTTTGTAATATGGACAAAATCTTCACCATAAAATGTTGGTGCAGCCTTCCACCGTAAGACATTTAGAGTGTGTGTGTGCACAAACTGCTAATCCATAGTACACAAATGCTGAAAACTTCAGACTAAGAGAAGAATTTATTTCACAATTGGTCTCATGTGTCACTTACATGAACTAATAACAAATGAATGAACATAAAACTAATCAAGAAAAAAATCGACTCTTTGTTGGTTGCAATTTGCTCTCCCGAAAGCGGTACATGCCGTATGCCGTACACTGCATTGCGAGTGACACACAAGCTCTGCAAGTACGCACACCCGGGGCCTTCATATCGACTACCTTCAGAAAACAAACTCACGACAGAGGGCCTGCAGTACTCACATTCTCATGGTACAACCTCAGGATGAGCTCTGGTGCTAAGCATCTTACATAACTATAAAGTAAAATTTAAGAAAACAAACTCAGGATGACCTCTGATGGCACGCGCTCTGCATGACTTTCACCATCCTTCGAAATCACACTTGCAAAACATTACAAGAAAAGTCAACACATTACGACTGCCTGCACGTTATCTTTCTACACAGTCATAAGCAAACACAATGACGAAATCGGATGCAACTCGCAAACGTAAATGCGGAACTGTGGATGGACTATGGAAGTTCTTTTCTTCCCTGAACATGCGTAGCCTGGTCTGAAGCTATCAGAGCAAGGAACGAACAGCAATAAAGCCAAATCAGTAGAAACTAAATTGGGTATGGGTTGGTTCGTCAAAATGTGGAAATTTTGAAATCAAAGATGTTTAGCTCAATTACCACTTGCACGGACTTCCTATCAGCAAATACCCCTTATATAACAACAAAACACCTTCAGAGAAAGGCATGTACATGTTTTCAGTCAAAATTTTTGACTTCTTGTACCACATAAAGCGCTGGAAAGGTACAAAAATGGCCGTTTTGTCGGTGTCCGAATCCCCGATTGAAACACAATGTGAAGTCTAATTCCTTATAACGCCGTTAAAACACCCAAAGTTTTGTGTGTTTTCGAGAGAGGACACTCTAATCTACATTTTAACTTAAGTCCCGAAACCTTGAGTCGATTGGTTCGTTCGTAAAGTGGAAGAAAAGTTTTGTCCGCAAATTGCGTCACTTGCTACCGGCATTTGTATTTCGCGGCTCTAAGCGTGTTTTGTGCCTGAACCGAACCAAGCGCCAACCCCATTCGGCTTCGAAATTGATATTAAACAAAACTGCAACGGTGGAAATACTTCCACAGGAGTATGGTAGGTTCAAAACAAGGATAATAGGTCGCTTTGCCGTAACTCGCTATCATAAACCTGTAATCGCCAACGCGTAATTTCGACCTCCCCCGGATAAACATTTTCAAATACTGGGACAAGGTCATGTTTGCCGCTTCACTTGACCTATTTACACCATACAGCGTCTGTTACGTACAAGCAAATTTGGTATTTCCTTGCGAAATAGATGGTTTTTATAAAGTGTAATGATGTAATCGGATGTAATCAGCCAGGACCCCGGCGTCGACGCCTGTTACTGCACTTTTGAAGCTTAAATACTTGTTTATTTCGCATCCAAGCCTATTACATATGTTAGGATTTTTTGTTTGTCCTGATCAGACGAATCGATTTCTATAAATAGATGTCAGTTTTGTCCACTTTGAAATTCCACCCAAACCACTTGAATGTAACGAACGTCGACGCGCGTGTAACAAACGTCGACGCAAATGTAACAATCGTCGACACGCGTGTAACAAACATCGACCCAAAGTACGCTTTCAACATTTAAGCCATTTGAAACAAAACTGGAACGAATTAAGCTTTGATATTTCTTGGGGACCATTCTAGAGCCATCTTGAATGAGCCTGCAAAATTTCATCCGAAAAGCCGCACATTAAAATCTTGGAAATCCCGCGCCTCAAATTCCCACATCTCGGCGAACCAACCCGTATTCCAATGAGTGGCAAGACCGCAAATGTGAAGAATAATCAGAAGGGTACAACCGCAGGCAAGAGGCGAGGAGGGATGGAGGGAGTGGCTACAACACCGCCAGGCCCTCTTTACCTCTGCACTTCGGCGAACTCTTCACAGTTACGGTCTGGCCGTTCCGTACGAATATCCTCTTTTTATTGGGCCAATATCGTATTTGGATCCAGCTAATAAGGCTTGCTGCCCGTGCCGATTTTGATACATAGCTCGTTTTAGGTCGAAAGATTCAAACTATCTTCTGTGAATCACAATATTTGCATGACGATCTCTCGAGTCGCATCCGAGGAGAGAGCAACCCCCGAAAGTGTTGTAAAGTGGAACACCCCGAACAGGAGCATGACATCACGTTGAGGCGAGCGTGAAAAATGCCACGCTCCTTTGGGCATTGGGTCGCGCTTGTTCCAAGGTGAATGAGCTAAGTCTGATTCAAATCCAAACGAGCGTGACGCAATGCTCAAAGAAGCCTGACATTTGGTCACGCTCGCTTCAACGTGAAGTCACGCTACTGAAACGAGAGTGAAGACTCCATGAGCAGCATCCCTTAGGCAAGGGCATCAAAATTTGCGTCACCATCGTCTTCTTCGACATCTTCGTCATCCTCGGCCCACTGTTCATCACCCTCACTCCACTGTTCATCACCCTCGCTCCACTCCAACTGTTCATTTTCATCACCCGCGCTCCAAGCATCACTGAAATCGTGGGTCTGCTGCACGCCGGGCAGCAGCGGAACCAGGACGCGTTCCGCCTCCTGCGCGTCCTTCGGGGAGAACCACTCCACGCTGAGCGCGTGCAGCGTCCGCAGCCGCGGCGCCGCCCTCTTCAGGTCCGCCAACACTGACTCCAAATTGTAGGAACAGAAGCTGACCGACAGTTTCTGCAGCACAACGGGAAAAGAATCAGTCCTGGTCAGTCATCCCAGTCTCAAAACATGCACTCTCAGCCTCTTATTGACTTTATCGTCAGTAACTAGGTACTATGGCAACAATAATACTTAGTATTTTCTTATTAGATACGAATAATTTACTGCATAAAATTAAGTCGGGATTATTTTTGTCAATAAGTACTAACAAAAATGCAGATAGTATGAGCAAAAGTAAGTCAAAAGTACATATTACTGTTGCACAAAAAACCAGAGGGACTACCGACAAAAAGTCAATACTACGCGTACTGTAAGTCAATAGTTTGTCTGAGAGTGTGCATGCATGCTTCACTTCGCCACAGAATGGATGTTATTGATCAGCACCCTCGAAAACGCATGCAAACGCCAAACTCGTAATAAAAATTTCGGTCACCGGGATTTCACCCCCAAGTTACCTGTAGTCCCGGGGGCAGGAGGTCCAGCCAGGGTTTGCCACGACTCTCGTCGTCACAGGCATCAACCTTCAGGCGGAGGCTGCGCAGCGCAGGCAGAGCGGCCAGCAAGGAGAGGTGCGCGCCGCATGGTGGTAGCATGGCGTGCTCCAGCTGCTCGCACCGGGCCACCGCCTGCAGCAACACACAATGGAGGGTCAGTTCAGTCGGCTCAGGACAGATGGGCGACACTGTGCGAAAACACCACACTGAATCCTGTTAATTTTTTTTACCGGGATTTACTGTAGTTCAGAACACAGGATTTACTGTGCGTGGCTACAGCACTTACTGTACCTCCCTGGTACAGAATATTCCGTACTCCTCTCCTGTGGTACAGTAAATTCCAAGGAGTAGATCCTGTAAAAAAGTGCAGAAAATTCTGTACTCTGAACTACAGTGACAGCTGTACTAATCACTACAGGATTGACTGTGACTGTGATTTTTTCCCACAGTGCATAAAGCGCCGCGAACGTTAGAGGTTAGGAGAGAAATAATCCTCATGGTAATCACAGTGTTAAAACGGAAAAAACGGATCCTCGCAGCATGAGAGAGGGGCGCCCTTCTCTCATGCTCACCGGAACTTCCTGGAAATCACCCATCTTATTACCATGGGCTTCCTCGATAAACCAGGAACCGCTTTTAGCATGAAGTGCGCAAGATACACGAGTAAATGAGTTCAATAATCCATTGTGCAACGAGAAGGTTTTGTGTGACACCTGATCAATTCACTTAGGCAAGGGGGGAGGAACGGAATTTAATCAAAACAGCTCTTGGGTCATTCCACGCCAAGTCGTCAAGGTTTTGAGGGACGTGTCGGCCGAACCCAGCGGTATTTTCAGGGATTGTTGGCCCTATGGGCCCATTGAAGGCCCGGTACTTTTTTCCCCGGAAAGTCGACAGGGGTCTGAGATATCTCAAACTTCATTTTTGGTAAAAGAAATTACCTATCAACCTAAAAAAATTTATATCTCGGAAAGTATTTGTCCTTTCTCAAAACCGCTTATACCGTTGGAAAGAGGAAGAAAAACTGAAAAAGATGGGATTTTTTCCAAAAATTCTTGGAAACTTTTACTTTTTGCACTTTTATAGTGAAATGTTAAAAATTATGCAACTTTTTTGTACCCTGATCAAAAATGGCGTTCTATGGCTCAAAATGTACCTTGATATGTCCTCTAAACGAAAAGATCAACGCCCCAATGTATTTTGTTTAGTTCCGGAGAACGAGCGGTTCTTGTGGACCACTGCAAGGCTACTTTCCCGCTGGAACGGCTCCCACGCCACGCTCGCCTTCTCTGTGTTAGCGGACGTGATCGCCAGGGTTCGGCGACCGTCAGGTAGGATTCCCACCTCACTTTCCAGCCCACTAAGGAAGCGCTGGACCTCAGCGCCTGAAGGGCAAGCAAGGGAGAGACTGGGAAGCACGAAGGGTCACCTACACACACATTTTTGGGGGTTGGCCGCGACTGTGCTCCGCGGTGCGCGTCGCCACCGGTGGCGGACTCTGGAACTAACGAACTTGGTGGTGTGTGTTGTTTCTGACCATCGCTTGTTTGGATTAGGTGTCAGGCAGAAAGGTTCGGATACTTGCTGAATCTCGCCCTGCGTTTGTTCCTGGCAGTTTGGAGGTGAACTATATAAGTTCTACACTGGAGAATATCTTTGCGTGGCTTAAGTCTGATTCATTTGCTGGTTCAGATTCACGACGGCCTCTCTGCCGTAGTTTGATTTTTGTTTCCCTTTTCAACCCAACCACTTTTTTGGCTGAGCGATAGCAAAGCCTGTTACTCCAGTGGGGTTGAAAAGTTTTGTCTGTCGGTCTGTCGGTCTGTCTGTCGGTCTGTCTGTCCGCACTACTCCTCCTGAACGGCTCGGCCGATCTCGGTGAGATTTTGCACACTTCTTAGGTATGTCCTTGGCTCGGCACACGCGAAATTTCACCATCCTAGCTCAACTGGTTCAGTTTTTATAGGCGAAAAACACCTAAAAAACGGCGAAAAATAGAGATTTCTGCAGATAGACCACTTCTGTCCTGGAGAAAGGGGGGTCTGGGGGGCGGGGCCCCCCAGCCTCGACAAGTTAAAAAGTGACAAGGGTCAAGATCGTGTTATCTGTAGATAAAACAACTCTATTTACAATGTAGGGGGGTCTGGGGGGCGGAGCCCCCCAGCATTCAGCAAGTTAAAAAATAACCGACAACGGACAAGCCATTGCCTGCCGCAGGCAGGCTAGCGCCGCAGGCCAAGGTAGGTACGCCAGGCGTGGATTGGAGGAACAGGCAGCGAGACATCGCGAAGCCTGTTACGACAAGACGCGGTCTGGCGTAAACCTACCTTGTAGTCATCTTTTACTGGCTTTGTCACTGTTGTCAAAATGTTTCAAGTATGCACTTGTTCAGTGTTCTCGGAGGGGTCAGTGCGGAGAAAATATGGGCAGGGGAATAACTGAACACCAAATATTTTACTTTGACTGAAGGTGTGTTTTTCATAGTTGATATTTGTTTGGCTTAGAGGACACGATCCTTGTACCCCTGTGACCAGAAACCCAACCTGAATCCCTACCCCAAACCGAGTTGAGCCCCGGCGTGAGCTTGATACGGCCCCGATCTCAGCCCGGACTCGAGCCTCAGGTCGGGGCTCAATCCGGGCTCATGTCGGACCTCCAGATATAAGGGCTTTGGGTCAAGGCTCAAGTCTTGGCACAAATAGGTAATACAAACAGGCATATTTGAAATATTTTGACAGCAGTGACAAAACTAGTTAAAGATGACTAAAAGCTGGTTGGGTTGGGAAGAGAAACGAAAATCTACATTCAAGAAACGTTCATGGAAGCATACGATACTCGTTTGGTGCTGTCCGCGCACGCCGAGCCGTGACGACCCGTAGGGCTGTACCTGGGGAGTATCGGTGTTCCACGCAGGCTGCGAGCCACCCATTTACTCACTCTCCCGCCCCGGCAGCCAGCCCCTTAAGTTGTTAGGATACGCACTTGGTTTCTGGACGTGGTCTATACCGCACCAACTAGTGTGGTCAAATGGGTGCCAACCACGTTTGGTGCGTTGCAAATATTGCAAATATGCCTTTTCTATAGAACTTATATAGTTCACCTCCAAACTGCCAGGAACAAACGCAGGGCGTGATTCAGCAAGTATCCGAACCTTTCTGCCTGACACCTAATCCAAACAAGCGATGGTCAGAAACAACACACACCACCAAGTTCGTTAGTTCCAGAGTCCGCCACCGGTGGCGACGCGCACCGCGGAGCACAGTCGCGGCCAACCCCCAAAAATGTGTGTGTAGGTGACCCTTCGTGCTTCCCAGTCTCTCCCTTGCTTGCCCTTCAGGCGCTGAGGTCCAGCGCTTCCTTAGTGGGCTGGAAAGTGAGGTGGGAATCCTACCTGACGGTCGCCGAACCCTGGCGATCACGTCCGCTAACACAGAGAAGGCGAGCGTGGCGTGGGAGCCGTTCCAGCGGGAAAGTAGCCTTGCAGTGGTCCACAAGAACCGCTCGTTCTCCGGAACTAAACAAAATACATTGGGGCGTTGATCTTTTCGTTTAGAGGACATATCAAGGTACATTTTGAGCCATAGAACGCCATTTTTGATCAGGGTACAAAAAAGTTGCATAATTTTTAACATTTCACTATAAAAGTGCAAAAAGTAAAAGTTTCCAAGAATTTTTGGAAAAAATCCCATCTTTTTCAGTTTTTCTTCCTCTTTCCAACGGTATAAGCGGTTTTGAGAAAGGACAAATACTTTCCGAGATATAAATTTTTTTAGGTTGATAGGTAATTTCTTTTACCAAAAATGAAGTTTGAGATATCTCAGACCCCTGTCGACTTTCCGGGGAAAAAAGTACCGGGCCTTCAATGGGCCCATAGGGCCAACAATCCCTGAAAATACCGCTGGGTTCGGCCGACACGTCCCTCAAAACCTTGACGACTTGGCGTGGAATGACCCTCTTGTCTCTTTCCCTGCACCCTATGGCCAAATGCAAAACAAAAAATCACGAATTGCAAAGTGCAGATCTTATAAATTTGGTATAACAATCCTAACTTGCACACTATAAATACGTTGTTTTTGATGTACAGCTCTAGCACAGAATTCATGCGCACGAATTCATGCGCAACAACGCTCTCTCTACAAATCGAAGAGTGTACATGGTACGCTCTAACTGGAGCATGCCTGCAAGCACGCTCTAGCTAGCGCATGCCTAGTGCATTATCGCACGTTGGCCGGGGGTTGCGGAGGTGAAGTGGGGTTTGCTGTGTGAGGCTGCCTAATCCAGCTCGCCGCGGGGTCAAACCTGGTCGAGGGATGCTTTGCACTTGGTCCTCAGTCACTAGGTTTCACTGCACTGATCACTCGCGTAACCGTCTAGCCGCAGCGTGTTCTACGGGTTCGTGAAGGGGTGAAGTAACGACACACGGGTTGGTTGAGTACTCGGGCACACGCGGACACTTTCGCGGACGGGGTATTCGGCGGAGAGGGCTCAGTTGTTTCCGCTACGGTGGTTGGTAGAATACTAACTGGAGCTTCTCCCGAGTCGGGGCTCCGTGAGGGAGGCACGTGCTCAATCCCTAACATCTAAGGTGAACGCATCGGCCACAGGCCGGTGACAATCAGATTATTCCAGCACTGCTGGCTAACGCCTGATTACTAGGCAACCTATCTGCCAGTCGTGTTAGTTAGCTGGCATTTAACACGGCGCGACGCGGCCTATGTTTTCTGCATGCACGCGCGTCAGATAGCACGGCAGCCAGCGCGCTGAGCGCTGCAGAGGTGCGTGCGCATCGCAGAGGCATTGACCAGTGTGACCTGGGCAGTGCGTCTGTGATAGCATACATGCCATGTACACGCTGACTGAAGCATGCATCCAGTGCATAAGGGATAGGGAGTTGCCTGCATCAGGAAGCGTGTACATGGCATGTATGCACTAGTAAGTGCATGCTTGGCAGGCATGCGCTAGCTAGAGCGTGCTTGCAGGCGTGCTCCCGTTAGAGCATACAATGTACGCTCTTCGATTTGTAGAGCAGTTTGCTGGAACTCAAGGCAATTGACGAAACCTGGACCGCACGTCGTCGAAACGGGAACGTAAACAATTTCATGAAGTTGTCTCAAATGTTGCGCCCACAAGGCCACACTTGCAGCCCTCAGGCTCAACACACTGGTAAATCTTAAGCGTAACTCTATGCTTGAGTCAAGCATAAAGTTACGCTTGAAGACGTTACGCTTAAAATGAAGCATACTCTGGAAATTCCCCCATGCATTGGGATAGGGGGAGACTTGGCGGATGGGCCTGTTACGCCTGATTTCAAGCGTAAACTGATTACGCTTGAAAACAGTGGGTAATACTACGCTTTAGTTTTACCAGTGCACTCAACAAACTAATTTTCACTTCAATTTTCCTTGGTTCATTTTGGTAAGAATGGTAAAAGAACTCTACAAATCGAAAAGCGTACATTGTATGCTCTGCACTGCATGCCTTCAAGCACACTCTAGGCACGGCACGCCTGCCAAGCATGCACTAGCTAGCCCTTAAATGCAATGTAGGCGCTTCCTGTAAGAGAAAACTCCGTATCCCTTCACACTAGACGCATGCTTCAGGAAGCGTGTATTCGGCATGTACGCACTAGTTGGTGCATGCTTAGAAGGCATGCGCTAGCTGAGCGTGCTTGCAGGCATGCTCCAGTTAGAGCATACAATGTACGCATTCCGATTTGTGGAGTAAAATTCAGGCTGAAATTAGATTGCAAAGTAGTAGTAGGGCAACGGTTGAGCCAACTATCACTGAAGCTGCGACCATGCGGATGCGGTCCAGGTCGTGTCCATTTCCTTGACTTCCCCCAGAGGAGAGACCTGCATCACGTCGCGAGCGCCCGATGCTGGTAGGGAGTCGATGAGCACCTCGCGGAGAGTGTGGCGGTGCCTGCTGAGCAGTGAGCTGACTGCGTACACGTGCTGCTCGTCCAGCCCTTCACAGACAAGCTTCGTTAGCGTGCTGGCTCCGGGACCACGGTCCTGGTAAGTCCAATCAGAGGGCCTGCGTGCAGACAAAACAAGCACTGCTGAAACTAAGCTTGAGTGTAACTTAGGTTTTCACATCCACCATGAAGGGAAAAAATATTCCAGACCATGGCGTAAAATTTATCAGTGCATAGTAAATGGGTCAACTTTCACAGGATTTTTTTACTGTGTAGGTGCAGTGCTTATCCACGTGAGGATCAAGTCCGCCCTAGGTAAGGGAAAGTGGGGCGATTCGTAACAAATGCGCTTATTAATTTAAGTGGAGGGTGCAGAAGAAAATATGAGTATGGTCCCTCTTTCGCTAAAAGAGGAGGGTCGCCAATTGCTGTACTCGTCACTTGGGAGTTTTCGGGAGAGGGAAAAGAACTAGACGAAGGTTTACGTGACAATGACTGCACAGTGGACTGGAGCACCAAGCAAGCTTCCGGGAGAGGGATGGAGAGGAGTGGGGGAAATATGAAAAACTTAAAGTTACTTGTCTACAGCAGCAGATATGCAGAATATTCTTTATTCGTGTGAGAATTCCTAAATCTGTTACAAATCGCCCCACTCTCCCTCATAGTCTGATACTACATGGAAGTAGCACAGCGTTTTCGAGACCACACTTACCCCGCACGCTCGTACTTATAATCCAGTCCCAGTTTCAGTGTTTGAAGCCGTGGGAATGGCTCTTCGGCCAGAAAGCGAAGCATGTCGCGCGAAACACATTGCAGTGACAGAGACTCCAGCGATACAGCAAACTTGTTGACGACTTTCAACACAATCGACCATTTCGTGAAGCTTGTGGAATCGATTTTGATTCGGGCCACCTGGCATGCATGGACACAAATCATTAGTCTTCAAGCAATGATTGAGCACGACAAAAACGGTACCTGGTTTTCCCAGGAAACCTACACTGTTAAAAATAATCGTTAATTTACGACATTTTGTAGAACAATTATATCGTTTTTAAACGACATATTTTGTTACGACTCAAGTCGTAAATATACGACTTGAATCATAAATGTACGACATATTTGTCGCTAATTTTGATAGCGACACGTTTCGTTTTAAAACGAATTAAGTCGTAAATTTAGGACTTAATCGTAAGTTTACGAACAATCGTAAATTATCTTTGTAATATGTCGTGCAGTTATGACTTCAGTCGTACATTTACGACTCTTGTCGTAAATTTGTGTTATGAATCGTAAGTGAACGACACAAATCGTAAATAAGTGAGCAAAATTGTAACTTTTCACCAATTTTTTGGGGATTTCAGGTGTCAAAATATGTAATCGTAATTACGACATTGTCGTAGAGAAATTATTTTTTAGTCGTTCAGTTACGACGAAGTAGTTTTAGAACGATTACCGTCGCTATGAAAATTAGCGACTTTTTTGTCGCTAATTTACGACAGAATTTCTAACAGTGTATGGCAGAGGCATAGGCGATTTCCAGGGAGTTCCCGGGAAAATTATGAACCGTTTTAACAGTGAGGCGACGAATATTCCAGAGATCAGCCAAGATAGGCCTCGATAAAGATTAGCGTACGGGAGCCTAGGGATCCATGGTGGTGCACATTTTTAAATCACCCTCTGCACGGCGGTGCATTCCATGACAGAATAACAGGCCTTGAGACAAAGGTTGTCAGAATCGGCCCAAATTTTTTTTGGTGACTCTTTCTTACTAGTAGACGCTAACAACAAATTTTTAGATTTTTTGAAATTTTTTTGTAGTTTTGGTCAACCATTTTAACCAAATTTTTACGACAAAAAAATAAAAAAAAATGCAGATATTAAAAAAGGCGTAATCATGGATTTGGCTGAAAATTTTTTTGTAGCTTCCCCTATTAGTGTACTAAGAGCCTGCATGAGGGCCCCATGTGCAGGAATGGAGAAAAAAAATCAGGAATATTGAAATTTGGGTTTGTTTTCACTGTTTTAGGCTAAATTGACACCCTGAGGGTTCCGTCTCTTGTTTGACCTTAACGTTTGGGTCTCACAATTGATGAAGCAATCGATTACTTTCAAAACGCTCATTAGGCAACATCTCAGGCCTCTCCTCTCTTGTTTCAGAATTTTTGAAGCTGGTCATGAAATAAACTAATGGAGTATTTACCTCAATCCCTCCAATCAAAGAAAACACAGGATACAACAGAATGCAATTACTCTTGCAAATTAAGAAAAAATCCTCAGCCAAATCCACTAGAATGCACTAGCCGAGCCATTTCGTTCGTGTCTTTGTTTTGTCTCTGTTTTACGCAACTAAAAAGATTACTTGCTCTATGTACGCTACAGAGACAGACACGAACGAAATGGCTCAGCTAGTGCATTCTTGGTCTTCCCTGGCTCCAGCCTGCCCCACTCCAAGAGGAAGCCAGAAACCAAAACTTATAACCTTCATATAAGTAATGAGAATTTTTTCTTAATTTGCCCTACATTAAGGGAAGGTTCTGGTGAAAATGCTATTTTCTCGAAAGTAGGTCCGACCCAAAATGTAAATTACATTTTCATTCGCAACCTTTCTAACCAAGCATTTACTGTAATTAATCAAAAATGTACAATACAGACAAATTTTGGAGACTTTTCAGCCTAAAAAGCTTACAATTAATAATATAATGGAAATTTTGAGCTATGCGTGCCGGAATCTTTTGAAAATTAATTGAAGAAGTGGAAAATGTCAAGATCAACCCTTTTCGACAAAATAGTATGCGCAATAAGATTTTTTAAGATACAGCCAAAATAGGCTCAAAAAGTCTCTTCGACTGGGTTCAGAGCCTGGCATGTGCCGTCAAATTTTCGTCTCCTCAAAGAAAGATTTTATATTCCGAACCAATTATGACAGTGGGATCCATTTAGAAAATGGCAAGACTTTCACCAGAACCTCCCCCTAATAAAAGATAATTCACAGATGCATGTGCAAAGGTACGCAGTTAAATGGCTCAATTTACTCAGATTTAAAGAGTAACGAAAATTTGAAGTTAGCATTTCCAAAAACAACAACGCAGCGGTGCGGCACACTCTCATCGACAATCACCAGCAATCAAACCTCTTGCCGGTTCCATTGTACTCTATACAACAATTGTTGTACTTTGAAAGTACAATAAATTCCTGATAAAAAAAAAATTGCCACAAATTTGTGTATTTTTGTTGTGTTTTTTTCTTGCAGTGCAGGCAGGCAGCGCTTTCTACCTACAGCACCGATCATTGCGACTCACCGTAGCCGCTGTTTCCATCAGGGCCTGTTCCTGTTCCTTGCCAATGCAGGCGTCTAGTCGAAGCGTCTTGACGAACGGAGCCGCTCGCAGCACCCTGATGGGCACCGGGCTGAACAAGGACGTTTTACGTCGCCCAGCGAAGACGGGAATAGTCCTGGGGGGGAAGTTGTACAGCAGGTACAGGTTGACGTGCCTCCACACTTGCGGGTCCCTGGTGAGCGAGCGCCATCGCCGGCTCAGCTGCCCCGTGGTCAGCAGGTCCTCGGGCGGCAGGAAGGAGCAGATGTGCAGCACCAACTCAGTAGGAAGCACTGACAGCGGGTCCGTCTGCACAGGAAGACGGAGAATGAGTATCGAACACTCTCATCCTTTCTGCCTTTTTCTCATTACCAGACGCATTTCCATAGGCAACGATAATACTTTATACTTTTAAAAGTATTACTTTTATGCAGATCCTTCAATGATACAATTTTGTGTCCAGCGGGTGACACAAATTGTCGAATAAAATAGCAAATTGCCTATGTAGGCATCGGAAAATTTCAGTCAACTGGTGGACACAAAATTGTATCAATGCCGGATGTGCTCAAAATTAAAGCATTCATGGGACAAAAAGAGGACCATGACATTAAGTGTATAGTAATTGCGTGATACTTTACTAACATGATCGTTTTCTTAATAAATTACTAAGCAATTTTAACGCATTTAGGCAGGAAGTACGACGTATTATAAATATTCAGAGAAATGCGTCCGCTGATGAGAAAAGTTAGTACAAGCTTGCACTGAAAATGAAATGGTAATACATCTCACTCTCCGAGGGGTGAGACATAACTGTCTCACCGAAAAAGGGTGACACTAAAATGTGTCACCGAAAAAAGAGTAGTACACGAGTGTCGAAAAAAGGTCGCACGCGAATGTATCACCAGAAAAAAAATGTCGTACACAAATGTATCACCGAGAAAAGGGTGATACTTCCCCAAGAAAACAAGGGCCAATCTCGCTGATGTCTGACCTGTTTTCGGTGTACGGCCATTTTTTCGGTGATACCTTCGTGTGCGACCTTTTTTTCGGTGATACATTAAGTATCGCCGAAAAATTGGTGAGGTGTCTCACCCTCTGCATTACAGTGTGAGAGTTAATCAAGCCCGCGTGCGAAACAGCAAAGTTCAAACCTTCGGATGGTATTCTACGAAGAAGCTCTAAATTAATATATGAAGAACAAAATAAATGCCTCAAAACCAGCACTGCAAATCCAAAGGCAATACTTCTGGTACCTTTTTTGGCGATACAATTGAGTATCGCCAATAAACCGCCTTACGGAAAAGTATTGCCTTCAGAACGGCGATACACAAAAGTATCGCTAAAATTTGGTGATACTTCGGAGTATTGCCACGATTTGGCATTAAACGTTGAACAAATCAAGGGGACAAGTCCTTGGTTTAATGCCGCGGTTTTGGCAATACCCAAAAGTATCGCCAAATTTTCGCGATACTTCTGTGTATCGCCGTTCTGTAGGCAATTCTTTTCCGTAATGCTGTGTGTTGGCAATACTCAATTGTATGGCAAAAAAAATGTACTTTAGTATCGTCTTTGCATTTGCAGTGAGGGCGACGGGCACGACGGAGAACGATGGGCCAGGAATGAACACGGAAGAGATACCTCAAACGGAAGTTGACGCAATGGTAGGCTCGTTCTTAACGAGAGAACATGAGAAAAATAACCGGAACAAGAAAAATATGGGTAGATTTTAGATTTTTAGTTAAGGGACAAGACTCGTCTTCAACACCAAAATTTTAATACATTTATTCAGGCCGCAATAGAAACTCTTTCCAATAAATTTGAAGGTTAGTGGGGTTTTCCAATAAAAGTCTGGGCCCCTAATGTTCATTTCAAAAAATAAAGTTGGACTCTAGTTCCTATAACAATCGGTAATCTTTCTGCTAAACCACTGACATACGTATCCGACAGTGGTGAGGTAGTTTCACTAAGTGCTCCCTTGAGCTTACCGCTGATGAAGACGTTCCTTCGGAAGACATCCCGGAGCAGAGCAGGCCGTTGCAGTGACGGGAGGCGACCGTCGACCCGGCCACGCAGCACTGATGTGTCGTGTGAGCCGCCAGACGATGACTGACTCTCCAGCATGCGATGCTGCCCTCTTATCTCGTGGACAACGACGAGGCCAACCTTTGGGTGCTCGTAGAAGGGCGTGCAGCCACACTGCGGAAAAGGGGCCTGCTGGAGTGCAAAGCACCGTACACTGTTGAAAATCTACTGTCATATTACGGCATAATATCCCACAGGAATGTTGTTAAATTGAACACGTCTGTTTGATGTCTGAACAGGATATCCACCCAATGAGCAACTCTTTTGTTTTATTACAACTTTCTTTTCTGAAAACAATAATGTAATAGTGATTAAAATCAGTTATGTTGTCATTCAACAGATTTTCTGTTTATAAACAACGATCGTGCAATCCTAAAACAAACATTGTTGCAATATAACAAGGATCTTGTTAACTTACAACACCATGAGGCCAAAACAAATGTGGCCAAGTCAAAATCGAAGACTCGATGGAAGTGTTGTTATACAACAACCGATTCATCAGAAAACAGCACAGAGTGCTACAACATGTTTGTAATATAACTAGATGTGTTAGAAAGAATTGGCAGCAAAAATGTTGTTCTTTGCAACATTTTTTCTAACATTGTAATGCGAGCGCTTGTGATAGTTTGTGGGCGCAACACTCTCAGACTCGCTATTGACTTTCAGTACGTGGTATTGACATTTTGACGATAGTAATATGTACTTTTCACTTTTGTCCTTATTATCTGAATTTTTGTTAGTGCTGCTTATTGACAAAACCAATTACTAAATAATTTTATGCAGTAAATTGTTTGAATCTAAGAAGAAAGTAATTTGTAGGCTACAGTACCAGATTAGTGACAATAAAGTCAATAAAAGGCTGAGAGTGTACACTGTGAAAATTTGTTGTCACTTTATGACAAAGGCGCGGATGACATTTTCATCACTTTCAAATGATGACAATCTCATCACAAATTGATGACATTTTCATCAAAGCTCCTTTATTTAATTGCATGGGCGTGACAACAATGTCATCAATTTTTTTTATGACATTGTTGTAAGGAAAATTAGCCTTGAAGTTGTCGTCAAGTGACGACTCAATTTTTTTACAGTTTACACTGCCAATCCAAGTGTGAGACAGTCTCACACTATTTAGTGCGAGACACTGTGTCTCACGCTTCCAAGCGTGAGCCACGTTTGCCTCACGCTTCCAAGTGTGAGACACCATTTGTCTCACACTTACAAGTGTGAGACACGGTTTGTCCCACACTTGATGTCTGTAGTTTTCTTTGGTTCAATGCCACAGGACCCACGCTTGCAAGTGTAAGACAAATGGTGCCTCACACTTCGAAGCGTGAGACAAACAGTGTCTCACACTTGGAAGCGTGAGTGTCTCGCACTAAATGGTGTGAGACTGTCTCACACTTGGATTGGCACACGGCAAAACCAACGTCCGGGTTTCCCAGGCGCACCCTGAAAAAATGCCCTGTTTTTCCAGGGACGTTGGTTTTGCCGTGCCGTGCAGTGTACTGAGGCGACAGACTGTTCTGGGGAGTAGAGACTGGCAAAACACTCTCAATTTGGTTGACCCGAAACAGGGCGCCTTTGTGGCTGCTATTTACTTATCAGGGCGCCGCTTGCAAAGTAAGGGAGCATGGGGCGATTTGTAACAGATTTTGGAATTTGGGTTTTACGGACGTATTTTTGGCACAATTTGACTCAGATATGGCCCGATTGATAGCTCAACCCTTTATCTAGCTTAAAAAATGACCAGACACACTCTTAGGTCTGTTAAATAGCAATGGTACAGTGAATTTCAAACCCTTGCATCTGTTACGAATCACCCCGGCTCGGGGCGAATCGTAACAGCCATGGGGCGATTCGTAACAAGTAGTGAACTGACTAGAAAAAGAGTCAGGAAACTATCAAACAGGCAATGATTTCTTCCAGGAAAAGAGAAACCAGTTTTCATTTGTTGATACCAATATTTTTTTTTTACTTCAAGTAATTAAAATTAGATTTTGTGAGGAAATAATGCTTTGTATGTCTGGGGTAAAATGTTCAATAATTCTTTCATGACTCAAGGCTTAAGAAGTGAGATGTGTTTATTTTGGTAGACTGATACAGAATTATTAGAAAAGTTTGCACAATTACTTATCACAGACCATTGAACAAAAAAATAAAATATCACAGGTCTTTGATTAAAATACATTAAATAATAAACAACCCATCGATCAAAAGATCAATAATTAATAAAAACACAAAGTCTCTTTTGGACTGAAAATCCTCACAATAATAATGCTTACTTTAAGTATACAGTCTTAATTAAATCACAAAAAAATCTTAGATCACATTTAGTACATTAGAAAAATAATATTGTGATTCAACCTAGTTTATAATCACTAAAATCGAAATCAAAACTATAAAGGGTCTGCTGCCGTTTAGTTAATCCAGGGTGAGAAGCAGGATGAGGCAGAATTGCCTTGATGTCACTTCTGTTCACAACTTTCAAATCAGGTTTAGCCGGCATTGTAAATCTATTTTTGGCTTTACGTGACAAGCGAAGATAAGAGATTCCTAAATCTCCATTATCATCAACATCTTTGATTATTTTCCCCGCAAAGTATTTATTTTCAGGGACAGTCATTAACACTAAAACATGATCGCCTTCCATGGGACAGGAATCAAGAACAGGCAATGTAGATTTGGATTTAGATTTGGACTTCGATTTTGATTTTGATCTGGATTTAGATTTAACAGGTGCAGCAGGTATTGACATTAAATCATCATCAACACAACTTTCATCACTGAAGTCCAAAACTTTTTTTACTTTATCCTTCTTTGCTTTGCTTGCTTCTGCTAGCCTCTTTTTTTCTGCCCTCTTCTGTCTGTTTTCTTCTTTCTGTCGTTCCTGTTCATCCCGTTCTCTCTGTCTTGCCTCCACTTCTTCTTTTTCTGGTGTGTCCGTTGGGATGAAACACTTGCCCTTCCCTCTTTGTTTGCGTTTAGGCTCACTTTCTTTTGCTTTGGGCAAACCCTTGAACTGCCTTGGAGTGATGAATGCTGATTGGCCACTGCTCCCTGCTTGCGGTTGACTTTCACTTGGGGAAGACACACTGGTAATCGTTAGTTCAGGCTCAATAATTTTACTGGCACTAGACAAGCTTGCTGCTGTAGGTTTATTGGTGGGAAATGCAGTGGAAGCTTCAGCTTCATTGGTGGTGTTAGGTGTTTCAGTTACAGTGGTCACAAGTCTCCCTTTACATCTTCTCTTTGACTTTGATATTTTTTCAGTGATGACAGTGGGGACAGTAGTCGGAACTTCAGCTTCATTGTTTAGGGGAGGCGTTTCAGTTGCAGTCAATTTCCTTTTGCGTACAGTTTTCCTGGACTTAGACTTCTTCTCAGTTGACAAGCTGCTACTGTTGTCTGCTCGTGTCACACTTACAGTGGAGGGGATACTACTTCCTTCTTCAAGTGTTTCAGCGTCATTGCTTGAGCCTGCTGCAGACTCACTTACAGGAACAATGGCAAGAACTTCAATCGTACTTTCAGGGTTGGGCTTCTCAGTTACCGTGGACATAAAAAAGTCATCATCAGTAAATATGTTGCGATCAAATGGAATAATTCCAGTTCTTGAAAATCCAGCTGTTATGTTTTCCACTGTTCCTGCCCTTAGCAAAGCAGTTCTAACAAAACCAGCAATGTGGTATATTGTCACTTGCTGTCCTGGATTATTGATCAGCCATGCATTCACAGAAGCATCATATTGAGTCTTGAACGGTCCAAAAAGTGACACATCAAGGGGCTGCAGTCGATGTGTGCAGTGGGGAGGGAATGTCAGAATTGTTATCCCATTATCCTTGGCAACATTCAATGCCTCAACACTAAGGTGAGTTTCAACATTATCTACTAAGAGAAGAAAAGGATTATCCTTAGTTGCACAAGTGTGCTTAATTACATGATTTAGAACAGACACAAAAGTACTTTTGGTCATATAGCCATTTTCATTGGCAAGGCCCAGAGTCCCTGGATAGGCGTTTATCAACATAGAGCTCACAAATTTTTTCCTAGGAAACAGCATAACTGGGGGAATGATTGAGCCATAAGCAGTCACTATGCAGCACGTTGTAACAGAGACTCCTCGTTCAGCTGACTTGATTTTGTGCACTTGTTTCACACCCTTGGGACAGACAACCTTCCGAGTGTTTTGCACTGTGTTGTTTGAAGTTTCATCAAGGTTTCCGACTCTGGAGCCATCAGCAAAGCGTGGATGTCGTTTCAGACAATCTTCGAGCTTGTCATAGAAGGTATTGACATTGTGTCTGTTGAACGCTGCTGCTCGTTGCAGACTACAAGCTTCTGGTGTTCGAATAGATAATTGCGGGTGTCTCTTCATGAATCCTGCAAACATAACATATAAAAAATAGTGGCAAATAAATAAACAAGAAAAGTAAAACATTGTGTGAAAGAGGAAAAATAAAACTTACCATGGAACCAGTCAATCCCAGCTAGTCTATCAGTTTTCCATTTTGGTGGCACACTGATTTGGTTTAACTCAGCAGTTTCATATGCTAGCTCCCGAACCATTGATGTTGACAGACCATAGCCAATCAAAGCCATGTCCATGCAGTATGCCTAGACATGTGCGCCGCGCCGCCGCTGCGCCGCCGCCGACAAATTTTACCACGCCGCCGCCGCTGACCAAAAATTTGCGGCGCGCCGCCGCGCCGCCGCCGATGATTTTACCGGCGGCGGCGTCGGCGTCGCGACCTTAAATGCCCAAAATATTTGCATTTCCATCAGCAGCGAGCGCCCAGGGATAGGCAACCCGACGGGCACGTTCTCCGCCGCGAGAACAAAATCTTATTGGAGTGTTTAAATTGCTTAATTTTTGCCTTTGTAACGAAACTAGTCCACCCTAAAGAACTAGTCGATCAAATTGTGTTTTCTTTTCATGGGCATGTTTTTAAATTGAGAAAATAGACCAAATTTAAGTCAACCACGCCGCCCGCGCCGCCGCCGCCGCCGCCGATCAAGACATCAGCGCAGACGCCGGCGTCGCCGCCGCCGCCGGCTAAATTTCGGCCAAACGCCGCCGCCGATGAAAATGCGGTCGGCGCACATGTCTAAGTATGCCGCTATAGATTCTTCTTGGTCCACAGAGAAAATAGTCTTTCCACCTGGAGGCTGCAACACTGGAAGATCTTGATTTTCTGCATTTTCATTTGTTTTGCTTTTCTTGTGCATTCGAAACAATAGGCCATAATTTACGCTGCATTCCTTGGCAGCCGCTCTGACACTGTAGCCAAGATTGATTAACTGAAGTCCTCTTTGGACTTTGCAGGGGTTTGTCCTTACACGATTTGTTTTTTTTTGATAATTACGAACCATGGCTGAAAAAAAAAACATGAAACAAACATTAGTTGCTATGTTTAGATGAGAAACATCAATTGGAATGGCTCAGGAGAGGAATATTCAGTCCAGGAACCAATCACCTCTCTCGCACCTCTTGTTACAAATCGCCCCATGCTCCTTGTTACGAATCACCCCAGTGGGTATAGGCTTTCACAAACCGCCCCAAATAATAACCAAGTTAGGTTATGACAGAATCCACGGTTGGATTACATTCGTAAAGGACGATACTATGTAAACCAAAAGTTGCGTGAAGAGGGATTGGTTACTCAGGGCCACAGACGGAAAGTCCTGAAAGTCAGAAATTCAAGTTTTACCTGTGTTCGTGGTATCACAAAATTGAGACAAAAACAGCGGCCATGCCACAGCACTGCACCCTACGGAGTCGATTGCAAATCAAACAAGTCGCCTAGGCGGAGAAAAGTTCACATTCACTGTTAAAAAAGTTATGAATTTTCAAAGCAATTTGGATGTCAATTTTCCGAACACGGATATGAATTTTACAAACATTGCAATTTTCATAACTTGATGCGAAAATTCGAAACGATTTCGTAAAATTGACAATTGTTGGTAATTTTCAAACCATGTTCTGAAAATTGCGAATCTTAAGTGTTGATTTTGAGCACACAATAGTAATTTTCCTAATCCAATTGTAAATTTCATTACTGGCTCAAGAGGCGTGGCCAAGGGGCGCTGGTAGAGTCATCAGATAGCTGACCCTCCGCCTCCCGTGGGACGTGGTAGCACAACGGTAAAGAGCGTGCACCATAAGTCAAAGATCCCGGGTTCGACACCCGCTGATCAAAAGCAGAATTGGTTCACTAAATGGCATAAGGCCGCATAGGTGTTCATATACATGAACACTTGGTTGTCCTTTTGCTTAACTGCCCTAAAATGACCTCGCGAACGCGAATATGAATTTTCATAACGTGATTGTAAAACAATTTACAATCATTTGTGATTTTAATTTTCATAACAATTGTTTGTGAAAAAAAATGCCAACCAATGTTATGAAAATTACAACTGATTTTTTTAACAGTGTTCATATTCGTATTCGGAACCCCCCGTATGGGAAATTAGGACATGTGTTACGAATCGCCCCTGTTACAAATCGCCCCATGCTCCCTTACTTCGCAGCACGACGTTTTCTCCGGCTTTGTTTGTACCACGAACACCCTTGCGAAAACGGCCACTATTATGGGAGAGGGCCAGTTCCGAGACTTGGCAACAAAGGTGCCCAGAAACTGAGTGACGTTCACTCTAAGACTCGTACCTTGCTTTTGTTAAATAAATTATTAACGTTTGTGCGCATTAAAAAGCGTATTCACATTTTTGTCTATTTTACAAATGTTATTCCGGATTTCGTCCTACTAAATTTTTGACAAATCGCTATTAATGCGCACCATCGTCAATGAATACTGATAAAATGTCGACTGAAGGATGAGTGTGTTGGGCGCCCTAAACAGTGGAGCAGGCCACGCAGGCACCCTGTTTCAGGGCATGTCAATTTGGAAACAAGCCCTGTCCACACAAAAAGATTTCAGCTTCACCACTTTCACTTGATTCATTTCGATTCATTTACACTGTGGCAAAAAGGTACGGAAAATTCTATGATTTTCTTTTCGTGCCAAGATTTTCCGTAGGCTCTTACAGTATCCTCCGTAGGACCGCACAGTCTTCTACGTAGGACCTGGAAGTCTGTATAGGTCTACGGAGATCACTGTACGGTCCTACGGAGAATATTCTAAGGTCCCACGGAGAATATTGACAACACTGTAAAAAATTCCGTACTTTTGTACGGAAAAGGTACAGAAAAATAAAGTACGGAGGTACGGAGAAAAGTACGGAACGTTCCCTACTTGCTCCATATGAACCCATGTAAATGGGTACGGAAAAAAGTACGGAACGTTCCGTAGTTGGCAAGTACGGACGGTCCAGGCAAATTATTGACCAGACATGTTCCGTACTTTTTCCGTACTTTTTTCTCACAGTGAAGGGGGCAACGGAGAATTACCACAAGCTGTGAACAGAATTTTCCGTAGCTTTTTGCCACAGTGTAGATGACAGCCACTGTCAAGTATGAGTCTGAGAGTGCACTCTTCACTTACACACAGCGCATGCACTCACGTGGCACCCACACTAAATTACTATGTAGGTTTAACTGCGCGCCAATGCACGAAATTGAACATGCACTTCGTAACGCACGAATTTGTGCGCGACAATGCACGATTTCGTGCGCAAGTATGCAGGAAATCGTGCATTGTCGCGCACAAATTCGTGCGTTACGAAGTGCATGTTCAATTTCGTGCATAAGCGCCCAGAAAAATCTACATAGTAATAAAGTGTGCCGGGTCGGCCTGGGGGAAGCTAGACGTACCAAGTGCGTCACGCACAACCTCGCACAACTCGCGACACGTCTGCCCCGGTCGATCGCCTCGCGACAACTGGCCGGACGGAGAATGCGGAGGCGCGAAGGAGCGACGCCACCGCGACTCGAAAGTGCAAGGGTGTGCATTCCGCAGCCTGACAGGCGGTCCCGAAGTCACGTACGCAACTCGCGCTTCACGCTTCCAGGGGTCTCGCGGACCAGTTCCCCGGGCCGAGTCATCCGCGTTTCACATTTTCGTCAATTAAGCTGCAACTGGCTTTCATACAAGTCAGGGACCGTTGCGTAATAAGAGCATGCTCGCATTATTGGCTGAGCCCCCTATTCCTTTCACTGAAACTAAAAGTTGAACTAGCGAAGCCCCTTAGTCCGGCCCAGAGACCCTCCCGAGCGAACCACGACGAAAATGGCACCTCGCAATGTAGGCAACCTTTGAACGTATCGGTGGCAACAAAAGTGTAGTGTTAGCCGTTGAAATTAACTAAGTGGGTACCTTTGATGAATTTTGATATTGTTCAGAGCCCAATTTTTTAAAATGTTCGAACAAACATTCGATTCGAGCTGGTAATACGTTTTGTTTTGTTCACTGTTCAAGTGAAGTTTTAAGGTTGGCAATGATAAAAGTCGGGTGCAGTTTAGAAGCGTCGTTGCATTGCAACCCCGGTGGGTTTTGTAAACATACCACAACAGAGCACAACAACACGAACAACACACACGGAGGCGGTAGTCGGCACTAGCGTTCACACTAGAAAAAGTCAAAACTTAAATGAAGTTGCAAATTACAAGGTAGGTTTACGCCAGACCGCGTCTTGTCGTAACAGGCTTCGCGATGTCCCGCTGCCTGTCCTCCAATCCGCGTCTGGCGTACCTACCTTGGCCTACCTAGCATGCCTTCAGCAGGCCATGGCTTGCCCATCGTCGGTTACTTCTGAATTGTTGCATGCTGGGGGGCTCCGCCCCAGACCCCCCTTCATTCCAGATAGAGTTGCTTCATCTACAGATAACACGATCTTGTAGATGAAGCAACTCTATCTGGAATGAAGGGGGGTCTGGGGCGGAGCCCCCCAGCATGCAACAATTCAGAAGTAACCGACGATGGGCAAGCCATAACCTGGGCAGCGGGGCTCTGCCCCCCTCTTCTTCAAGGCAGAAGGCATTTGCCTGCAGAAAACTCGATTTTTCGCCGTTTTTCAGGTGTTTTTCGGCTATAAAAACTGAACCAGTTGAGCTAGGATAGTGAAATTTCGCGTGTGCCGAGCCAAGGACATACCCAAAAAGCGAGGGGGTATGCACTCGCGTAATAGTCGGTTCACTCTATCTGTAATAGCTTGCGTAAATACGCGTAATAGTCGCGTAATAGCCGAAATTGTCAAAATTTTATCAATTTTGGTGTGTTTTAGGCCGTTTTTAGCTAAATTCCGATTAATTTGTGGCGTAATAGAGCGTAATAGCGTAATAGTCGGTACACAGGTTCAGAGAGCGCATACCCCCTCGCCAAAAAGTGTGCAAAATCTCAGCCAGATCGGCCGAGCCGTTCAGGAGGAGTAGTGCTGACAGACAGACACACTCTAAAAAAAATCAATCCAAAATTCTGTAACATGGTTACGCAGCTTTTTCAATAACACCTGTTACAAAATTTTGTATCGAATATGTTACAATTTATTTTTTTGTAAATTGGATACAAAATATTGTAACGTCAGAATACAAAATTCTGTAACAGATGTGATACGGTGTTGAGCACCACTGATACAAAATTTTGTATCCCGCATCAAACTTTTGTATTCCGCGTCAAGATTTTGTAACCAATGGGATGCAATATTCTGTATCATTCATGCGAAATTCTGTAACATAGTCATTCTCTCCTGTGACATGATGCAAATTTTTGGTTCAAATGTGATGCATTTTCCTCAAGCACAGATATAGACTTTCGTAATATTGTTGTATAATCTAAGACACCTTGTCATAAAGTTTTGAATCAGTCAACAGCCTTCTGCAGCAATTGAAATAGAATTCTGCTTCATATTCCCCCCTTTTTTTTTTTTTTTGGGGGGGGGAAAAAAAAAAAAAAAAATTTTTTTTTTTTTGGGGGAAAAACCCTTTAAATTTTTTTTCCCCCCCCCCCGGGGGGTTTTAGGGCCCCCAAAAAATTTTTTTTAAAGGGGCCCAACCAAAATTTTTTTAAAAAAAGGTTTTTGGGGAAAATTTTTTTTTTTAAAAAAAGGGGGGGGGGGGAAAAAAAAAAACAAAAAAAACCCGGGGGGGAAAGAAAAAAATTTTTCCCCGGGGGGGGAAAAGGCCGGGGGGGCCCCCCGGGGCCCCCCGGGCCCCTTTTTCCCCCCCCAAAATTTTCCGGGGGGGGAAAAAACCAAGGGGCCCCCGGGAAAAAAAAAAATTTTTTTCCCCCCAAAAAAAGGGGGGGGTTTTTTTGGCCCCTTTTTTGGGGGGAAATTTTCCCCCCGGGCCCCTTTTTTTTTTTTTAAAAAAATTTTTTTTGGGGGTTTTTTTCTTTTTAAAAATTTGCCCAATTTTTTTAACCCCCTTTTTTTTTCCAAAAAATTTTTTTTTTGGGTTTTTTTTTTTTTCCCCCCCCCAAAAAAAAAACCCCCTTTTTTCCCCTTTAAATTTTTTAAAAATTTTTTCCCGGGGGGGGGGGTTTTTTTTTTTTAAAAAAGGGGGTTTTTAAAAAAGGGAAAAAAATTTTTTTTTTTTTCCTTTTTTTTGGGGGGGAAAAAAAAAAAATTTTGGGGTTTAAACCCCCCGGCCCCCTTTTGGGGGCCCCAAAAAAAAAAAAAAAAGGGGGGGGGGGGCCCCCCAAAACAAAAAACCCCAAAACAAATTGAAAAATTTAAAGGTTTTTTTTGGGACCCCTTTGTAACACCCAAAGTCCCCCCTTCCTAAAGGGGGGGGGGTTTTTTTTGAAGGGAAAAGGGGGCCATCCCCCAAAAAGGGGTTTTACCAATTTTTAAAGGGGGGGGGGCCCCCAAAATTTTAAAAATTTTTTTTTTTTAAACTTTTGGTAAACCTTCCCCAATAAGGGGGGGGGGGGCCCCCCTTTTAAAATTGTTTTTCCCGGGGGGGAAAAAGGGGGGGGGGCCCCCCCCCCCTTTTAAGGAAAAACCCCAAAAAACCTTTTTCCCTTTTTGGGTTTTTTGGTTTAAAAAAAACCGGGGGAAAAGGAAATTTCCGGTGGGGGGAAAAAACCCAAAAAGGGGGGGTTCCCCGGGGAAAACCCCTTTTTAAAGGGGAAAATACGCGTAATAGTCGCGTAATAGCCGAAATTGTCAAAATTTTTAAAAATTTTTTTTTTAGGCCGGTTTTTTGCTAAATTCCGATTAATTTGTGGCGTAATAGAGCGTAATAGCGTAATAGTCGGTACACAGGTTCAGAGAGCGCATACCCCCCCCAAAAAGGGGGAAAACCCCCCCGGGGGAAAGGGGGAGTTGGGGAAAAAAAAAAAAAAAAAAAAACCCCCGGGGGGTTTTTTCCCCCAAAAAAAATTTTTATTTAAAAATTTTTTTTTTTTTTTTGTAAATTGGAAAATTTTTTTTTGGGGGGGAAAAAAAAAATTGGTTCCCTTTTAAAAAAAATTTTTTTTTTTTTCCCCAAAAAAAAATTTTTTTTAAAAAAAAAGGGGGGGGAAAAAAATTTTCCCCCCAAATTTTTTAAAAAAATTTTCCCCTTTTTTTTTTTTGGTTTAAAATTTTTTTTTTTCCCTTTTTTTTTGTTTTTTGGCCAAACCCGGGGGAAAATTTTTCAATAAAGGTTTTTAAAAAAAAAAATTTTCTTAAAATTTTAAAAAAAAAATTTTCCCAAAAACCCCAAAAATTGGGGGGAAAAAAAAAAAAGGAAAAAACATTCAAAGGGGGGAAAAAAAAAATTTTTTTTTGGGGGGGGGGAAAAATTTTTTTTAAAAAAAAATTTTTCCCCAAAAAAAAAGAATTTTAAAAAAAAAAAAAATTTTTTTTTTTAAAAAAAAAAAATTAAAACCCAAAATTTTAAAAAATTTTTTATAAGGGGAAAAAAAAAAAAAATTTTTTTTTTTTAAAAAAACCCCCCCCCAAACCCAAAAAAAAGGTTTTTCATTCCAAAGGTTTTTTTTGAAATTTTTTTGGGGGGGGGTTTAAAAAAAATTTTTTTTTTTTTTGGGGGGGTTTTTTGGGGGAAAAAAGGGGGGGAAAAAAAAATTTTTTTGGGGGGGGGGAAAAAAAAAGAAGAAAAAACCAAAAAAAGGGGGGGAAATTTCCCCCTTTTTTTTTTCCCCCCCCTTTTTTTTAAAAAATGAGGGGAAAAAAAAAAAAAAACCCCCCCCCCCGGGGTTTTTGAAAAAGGGGGCCCCTTCCCAAAAGGGATGGGGCCCCCGGGGAAAAAAACCCCCCCTTTGGGTCCCCCGGGGGGGCGGGTTTAAAAAATTTGGGGGGAAAAAAAAAACCCCGGGGGGGGGGGAAGGGGCCCCCAAAGGGCCCCCCAAAAAAGGGGGGGAAATTTGAAAATTTTTTTTTTTTTGTTTTTTTGGGTTTTTTGGGGGGGAAAAAATTTTTTTTTTCAAATTTTTTTGGGGAAAAAAAATTAAAAATTTTTTCCCCCCCGGGTTTTTTCCAAAAAAATTTTCCCTTTTTTTCCCAAAAATTTTTAATTAAAAATTTGGGGGGGGCCCCCCAAAACCTTGGGAAGGGCCGGGGGGAAAAAAAAACCCCCCCCCCAAAAAAAAAAGGGGGGAAAAAAAAAAAAAAGGGAAATTTTTTTTTCCCCCCCCAAAAAAATTTGGGGGGGGAAAAAAAACAACCCCCAAATTTTTTGGCCCTTTTTGGGGGGGGAAAAAACCCCCCTTTTTTTTCCCGGGTTTTTTTTTAAAAAAAATTTTTTTTTTTTGGGGTGGTTTGGGAAAAATTTTTTTTTTTAAAAAAAAAAACCAAAAAGAAAACCCGGGGCCCCCTTTTTTCCCCCCCCAAAAAAAATTTTTGGTTTTTTAAAAAATTTTTTTCCCCAAAAAAAAAAAAAAGGGGGGGGGCCCCCCCCCCCGGGGGGGGGGGTTGGCCCAAAGGGAAAAATTTGGGGAAAAAAAAAAAGGGTTTTTGGGGGGGTTTTGGGGGGGGGAAAAAAAAAGGGGGGGGGGGGGGGAAAAAGGAAAAATTGGGGGTTAAAAAGGGGTTTTTTAATTTGGGAAAAAATTTTTTTTTTAAAAGGGGGGGTTTTTTTAAAAAAAAAAAAAAAAAGAAACCGGTTTTCCCCCCGGGGAAAAAAAGGGTTTTTTTTTAAGGCCCCCGGGGGGGGGGAAAAAAACCCTTTTTTTTTTAGGCCCTTTTTTTTAAAAATTTTTTGGGGGGGGGTTTTTTTTTTTTAAAAAATTTTAAAAAAAAAAAAAACCCCCCCCCAAAAAAAAAAAAAAAAAATTTTTTTTGGAAAAAAACCTTTTTTTTGGGGGGGGCCCCCTTGGGTTTTTTTTTCCCCCCTTTTTTAAAAAATTTTTTTTTCCCCCCTTTCCCAAAAAAAAAAAATTTTAAAAGGGAAAAAATTTTTTTTCCCCAAAAAAAAAATTGGAAAAATTTTTTTTAAAAAAAAAAAAAATTCCCTTTTTAAAAAATTTAAAAAAAAAAAAAAAAAGGGGGGTTTTAAAAAGGGGGGTTCTAAATTTTTTTTTTTTTTTGGGGGAAAAAAAAAAAAAAATTTCCCTTAAAAAAATTAAAAGGGGAAATCCCCCTTCCCCCTTTTTTTTTTTTTTTGTTTAAAAAATTTTAAAAAAACCCCAACCCAAAAAAATTTTAAATTTTTTTAAAACCCCAAAAAAACAAAAAAACCCGGGGCCCCTTTTCCCCCCAATTTTAAATTTCCCGGGCCCCCCCGGGGGCCCGGGGGGGTTGGGAAAAAAAACCCAAAACTTGGGGGAAAAAAAAAACCCCCCCAAAAAAACCCCCCCCTTTTTAAAAAATTTTAAAAAAAAAATTTTTAAAAAAATTTTTTAAAAAACCCCCCCGGAAAAACCCAAAAAAAGGGGCCCCCCTTTTTTTTTTTAAAGGGGGCCCCCCGGGCCCCCCTTTTTTTTTTTTTAAAAAGAACTCGAAACTTGTAGCGGGCATAAGGGATGATCTTGAATTTGGGAAATTCCCACTTCATCGGTTCGTTCTTGATGGTGTTTGATCCCTGAAGAGAAGAACGCGTGCTTGTTACAATAAGTACTACTTGTAGGAAAATAGAGATTGGAGGTCGAACAAGGCATGAAGAAAGTTATCGTAAGAACTTCTCTGTCTTTGGTACGACTGTGCTCGATGCAGCAGAGCATTTTTTCATTGCTGGCCTAGCACTGTCTCGAAGTAAACTGTGCAGGGGTACACACGCTTGAAACCTTAGAGACATTTGATCCAGGAAGCGGAAGAAGGGGATAACTCAATTTCGGTCATTTTCCAGGAGAAACCAAAAACTGTTAGGAGGGAAAACTAAAACAAAACAAATGAATGTTGCTGATGTTAATAATTTCAAAAAGCATTAGTAAAATTTTGGAAAAGAAATCAAAAGTGTAAGGTCACCCCGTAGAGGACTTCTGCGACTTATCACTTTCCGTTGAAATGGAAAACAGAGTCAGCTCACCTTATATTTCCTAAACAAAGAGGAATTTGGAGACAAGTCAAGTAGAACAATAGTCTGCATAAAGTGCATGTTACTCTGGTGTATTTTTTGGCCCGTCCCGTTTATTTTTTGTAAAAAAAAATGACGGAGGGACGGGCATATAGTATGATCCCTGCTGCACTCTAAAAAATAATATAGGATTTTGTAACGATCTTGATACAAAATTCTGTAACACGTCAGTCGGATACAAAAATTTGTATCCTTGATCCTAAATTTTGTATCACGTCAAGAATGTTACGAATTTACGAATCAGTGCTTCAGAATTCTAAAACTGATACAAAATTCTGTACTTTTTGTTCCAATATTCACAATCAGTGATATAGTTCCATGTAAAAATGCGATCTTTATGCAAATAACTGTAACTGATACAGAAAACCGTAACATATCGTTACAAGTTTACATATCGTCTGATGCAAAAATTAATAACGCAAATTTAAAGTCAAATTACGAGCTTAATTTTAACATCACAGTTGATCGGGCGAAAAGTCCTAACGTGGGGCATGGTACTTTAGAAGCTTCGGGCCAGGAACTCTAACTGTCGCGCCGCAGGGCTCGTTTCCCACCACTACCTGGGCATGCAGCGTGCCCGCTCGGTGTCATCGACAGTCTGAGGCGTGCCTCCCCATACGGCGAGGTGGCGCAAGCGGTAGCATGCCGAGCTGGCAATCCGGGGGACCGGGGTTCGGTTCCAGAGAACGCAGTTCGGTTTCTCCGGGTGTTCGGCAGTACAGGAGCGACGGAGCGAATGTGTTGGAACAAACGATCGTTGAGGTTCAAATTTTGTTTATAAAACGACAAATTTTTCTGATTTTTGCAATGCAGAATTCTGTAACCGGGAAACAGTTTACCGTAACGCGTGATACAAAATTTTGTATCAGTGCTGATACAAAATTCTGTAACATTTGTAGTGGAAATTACTGCGTAACCATGTTACAGAATTTTGTATTGAAATTTTTTTGAGTGTGTGCGTCCGTTCGTTCGTCCGTCCGTCCGTCCGAGGACTTCCCGTGGTCCGATCTTGACCAAATTTGGTATCCAGCCTCCTTGGGTGACCTTAAGAACCGCCCGGTGGCAGCAAATCCGATCCGAGCCCCAGGGGCGCTGCTGCAGGTGCATCATGGTCTACATGGGGTCGAGGAGGATTTCGGCAACGGATGCAGCTAGGAGGGCATGTAGGGGTATTTTTGGAATCGGGGCGACGAGAGAAAACCAATGGTGCCAGTTTCGAGTGAATCGGAGAAGTTCGGACCCGGGTTCAAATCCCAGCGGGGTATTTTTGGAACGTTCTGTTTATTCGAGTTTTTGCATTGTTTCTGATGTTTTTGAGGGTGCTGATGACAAGAACGACATTTATTTTAACCCCAGACTCAGGTTTAATTCCCGTCAGGGTCGAACATAGGCGAAATTCGTACGTTTCTTAATGTACGGGACGGGCCAAAGTTGCCGATGTATATCGCTACTTTTCCTGTTATTGGACTTAGCTCTTTTTTCCAAATTGAAATTTAAAATTAAGGGGTGGTTAAGTTGAATTGTTTCTTTTTACACCAGATTCACAAAAATACAAGTTGAGTTATATCCTTTTGCCAATTTGTCAAACGGACTCATGTGGACTTCAGTTGAGTTATCTCCATTTTCCAATGAAATTCAGACCGTAAAAGGGGTTAAGTTGAGTTATACCCTTTTTCCATGTGGATTTTCTCCTTAACTGCTTGGAATTCAGTCAAATAATTTGGTGTAATGATGTAAACCATTCTAAGGCACAATTATAAAATAAAAACTCAATTTAGGGATAAGTCAAGTTATCCCCTTCTTCCGCTTCCTGGATCATTTTTTTAAGGGGGCAGTAGCGCCATTGACATCTTTTTTGCTCAAATTTTGACGAAGTTCCTTCTATTACAGATTCCTTTCTGTTAATCGTGGGAAAAAACACTTATTATCAATGAAAAGAGGGTTCTTCAAGGATGATTTTGAATTCTAAGTGGGTGATTTACTGTCATTTTAGTGGGGTCTGCGAAGGGCACAAGACAACACAACGTATTTGCCCAATAATGACAAAATATCACTTCGCGCAGAGCTACTCAGTTCCCGAGTCCCCGCTAGAAGTTTTCCATCCAAAATTTGTCCACTTGTTTTACATACTTGCGCAGTAAAAATGACCCTCTAGCTTTGAGAAATAATATCGGGAAGTATTTTGTAACTCACCTTTTATGAAACGTTAAAAAAACATGTTAGACCCTTGTTAGACCCATCGAACGTTATTAATGTGTCCCTGGAGCCAATGTAGCAGCACCAGCCGGCTTAGGGGTAGGTTGGGTAAGAAAAGTACACTCGAGGCTTGGGTAAGAAAATAACACCCGTTATATCTCCGAACTGAAACGACACTGAACCATCACGATAGTGGTTTTAGAAAGATTAGTCATCCCGCTGACAAAAAATAAATTTAGCCCAGTTCTACCTATAATATTTAGAATCAAACTGCACGTTTGAAAATAACATTAAAAATACTATGAAAATCTTTTTTTTCAATTGTTTGTACTTTGAAGTACAGCTTCCTGCAGAATCAGCCGACAGTCCACTGTAAGGTACCACCTTATAGCTTAGACCATCATCTTTGAAAAACAGTGCCGATCGATGCTCTTAGACTTCAACACAATTTTTTATAAGTGTAAAAGTGAAATGGGGAAGAAAAGTACAGGCATTGGGGAAGAAAAAAACACCCTCTAAGAAACTAAAAGCGGGATGAAAATTGAATTGATCACGGAAATAGATTTGATTAGGCGAGACAAGCAAAAAATGTCAACACAAGTTATAGAATTGGACTCGAAATAAACAAGTTATTGCGCATTTATGTAAAAGGGGGAAGAAAAGTACAAAAATGCTGTACCCACTTATCTCTGAGAAAAGGCTATTTTGACCTTCTGTGATGAGTCCATGTAGAATCAGAACCAATTGACCGATTTTGACGAAACTTGAACTAATGGCAAGTGAAAGCTCTCCACTTTAGGGGTAAACCTGTATTGAGCCAAGATTGGTGGTCTCCTGGTTCGAAATCGCAATTCTTTTCGTTGTACTTTTCTTTCCCGGTGGTGTACTTTTCTTACCCTTTTCGAGGAGTTCCGAAATCACATACATTTTGCCATGTTGTACGTAATGTGGGGAACTATAATCAATGAACAGTGATCAATTTCATTAGGAAGGCATTGGATTACAAGTTGACGAGAGCAGAATAGTTGAATCCTCATTTGGAACTTCTGTACAGTGCAAAGTATGCGTTTTGTACTTTTCTTCCCCAACCTACCCCTAGGGCCCGGAAGACTTGCATAGTCCTACGGAGAACACTGTAAGGTCCTACTGTGCGGTGGTCCTACGGAAAATACTGTAAGAGCCTACGGAGAATATTGACAAGGGGGCTACGGAGAATAACCACAAGCTGTTAACAGAATTTTCTGTAGCTTTTTGCCGCAGTGGATGCACTTTTCTTCTTAGAAGTGTACGGCATACATGAAAATTTGTCGCATATCTGTACTTTGAGCCTCATAGAAACTAGGCAAATGCTTCAAATTACAATCCTAGCACACCGTTAGAAAGGAAAGACTCTGACGGTCATTTTGAGATATCGCGGGGGAAAATCGGTCGACAACTGCCGAAGATACAGTCACACAAAGTTACAATGAGGGCCTTGAAAAACACAAACGCGGCTCTGTACCCCAACAAACGACTCCAGTCGAATTTCTGGCAGCAGATTCTTAAAGTACAGCTCAACACCTTTCCAATGAGCCCAGAATTGTCAAAATCGGTCAACAATTGACGATTTTAGCATTTCGGACCTAAAACAGCTTAAATTTTTCAAGGGCGTTGAGCGACCTCTAATTTTGTGAAATTTGGAAAACCCCGAAACACGTGTTCCCTTTTTTTGGATAAAAAATCAATTTTGACCCAGCAATCATGAGATTTCGAAAATTTTTGCAAACGTGAAACACCCTAGGCAACCACTTGAGAAATCCTATGTCCCCTGAAGCCCCAAAAATCTCTGGAAATCCGAAATCTTTCCCCAAAAAGGCCAAAAACAGGCAAATATTGGGCTTAAAATTGGACGAAATATCTTGTCTTGAGAAATCTTGTGTCCCCAAACATCGTACGTGGTTGTCCCCTCTGCCAATACATAAGAATTATCTTCAAGACTTAGAAGAATAATCTGTCTTTTTCAAAAAATAGTTGAGAACAAAGTTGCAAGTTCAGAAGTAAGTAAGATGTGAGCACCTCAACTGCGAATCGGGCTGAGGAAAGTCACCAACATATCAAAAGTTTTTTTTTTTACTGGGAGCAGTGCAATAGACCTACCCGAGCCGAAAAAATTACTTCTGTGGCTGTGCGGAGCCAAGAAAAGAGAGGAAGAAAACATGCATTTCGATGCAAACCACCGTGCTGGGTGACACTTCATTCACTGAGATTCCAAACGCTTTGAATAGCACGTATGGTGCGATGCAGCTGAGATATCGCACAATACGTGCAATACAATAGCCATATTGCACCTTGCGTGCGATGCGTCCCGAAAATGCCCTATACTAATGCATGGGAATGGGGAGGTATTGCACTTCATGTGCAATGCTTTTCCATCGCACCAATTGACGCTATACTCATAGCGTTTGGATTTTCAGTGTTGCCCAACTTTGGTTGATAAACTGTATCTCGCCCATAATAGGGTACTGGATCAAGACTCATTCATTCTTAGTCCATGAGACTAGGGGTAATGGACTCGCAACGGAGCTGGCCGGAATCTCTGCCATGCTAATTGTAGTTCACTATTTCTCCGACTAAATATGCGATTTTTGAGATGGCTCGGGCATTTTCGGAAAGAAGACATCTTAAAGCATGCCCTCGGGAAGCTTCTATCGCAAGTTGAAGATCCGTCCCCCCTGCGTCGCCCCTGGCACCATGGCCGTCGCCCTGCGCATTTGAGTAGCGCAACGGTTAACCTGTTCCTGTTCGAGCCCTGGTGGGAAAATTGAAACTTTTTTGAATTTAGGGCATACTTTAAGATGTCTTCTTTCCGAAAATGCCCGAGCCATCTCAAAAATCGCATATTTAGTCGGAGAAATAGTGAACTACAATTAGCATGGCAGAGATTCCGGCCAGCTCCGTTGCGACTCCATTACCCCTAGTCTCATGCTCAGTCTTATGAGTGCAAATGGAACACTGCAAATGCAAAGGCGATACTCAAGAACATTTTTTGGCGATACAATTCAGTATCGCCAACAAACGGCATTACGGAAAAGTATTGCCTTCAGAACGGCGATACACAGAAGTATCGCCAAAATTTGGCGATACTGTTGGGTATCGCCAAAACCACGGCATTAAACCTAACGACTTGTCCCCTTGATTTGTTCAACGTTTAATGCCAAATCGTGGCAATACTCCGAAGAATCGCCAAATTTTGGCGATACTTTTGTGTATCGCCGTTTTGAAGGCAATACTTTTACGTAAGGCCGTTTATTGGCGATACTCAATTGTATCGCCAAAAAAGGTACTAAAAGTATTGCCGTTGGATTTGCAGTTAACCCATCGTTCTACCCTTAGGAATACGCAGGGTTGCCTTCTGTCTTTTGCCGGCGTTGAGTTGGTGGCCTTCGCAAAGAGGTGGAAGAGGGAGGGGAGTTGTTCTCGTATCGTAGAACAGGCATTGCCGGGAAAATTGAAATTAAATGCATTCTCTTTCCACTCGTTGTTCGCGCGAAGTGCCATGCTGACACGAATCTGTGAAAAAAAATAGCCGGACAAGTTCCGATAAGAGGAAAGTGCGGCTTAGTGATTCTAATGCTGGAAAATTTCCAGGGAAAAATACGGAAATTTTCCGTATTTTTCCAAAAGCCTCCGAAAAGATGAAAAAATTCAAATAATGCGCACTATGCAGAGGAGTAGTGCGGACGCACAGACACACACAAACATAGACAGAGACGGAAAAAACTTTCCAACCCCAGCTGAGTAACTGCACGGTAAAAACGGTTCCTGGTTTTCCCAGGAACTCCCTGGAAATGGCCTATGTCTTTATAAGCTTCCTGGGAAAACGAGATGCCGTTTTTACCATGTGGCTTCGCTATCGCTCAGCCAGCAACTGTGATTGGTGGTTTTCAAAACTTTCGGATGCCACCGCTTACCCAGACGTTGTCATCCAACTCTTTCTTGAAGCTCAGATTCCCCGAAACTGTCTGAAGATCAAAGGGTTTGAAGGGATTGAAGTGACTTGGACGTAAGTCGAGTGTATAAGTTTCTTGCGAGTCGCATCTCCCGAAACTCCTCGCAAACGCAATAAATGGTCCCTAGTGCAGAAGACCTTGAACTTAGGGGATATAACTGTTGACGTGGAAGAAATGTACTTGTTCGGCAAAAGAATGATTAGATGATCATTAGTCAACTTTTTACTGGGTTGTTTCGTTTATTCACTCCTTCGTAGTGATCGATGTCAAGAAAAGTGATAATGGGCTAATTTGCCTCCCGACCTGAAAACGTTAACCCAGTCTTTAGATTTTCGCAATTTTATCTATTTTTGCATAGGAAAAAGATAGCGTTGGCAGATTTGAATATCAATGGAGAAGAGGCTGTAAAAGCTATTTTATCAGGCCTATTTTTATTTTTCTTCGAAGTTGTGAGATTTTGACCCATTTTGGTCGTGTTTTTGGTTTTTCAGGAAAACTGATCCAGGAAGCGGAAGAAGGGAATAACTTGACTTATCCCAAATTGAGTTTTTATTTTATTATTGTGCCTTAGAATGGTTTACATCATTACACCAAATTATTTGACTGAATTCCAAGCAGTTTAGGAGAAAACCCACATGGAAAAAGGGTATAACTCAACTTAACCCCTTTTACAGTCTAAATTTCATTGGAAAATGGAGATAACTCAACCTTAGTCGAGTCCGACAAATTGGCAAAAGGATATAACTCAACTTGTGTTTTTATGAATCTAGTGTAAAAAGAATCAACTCAACTTAACCCCCCCTTAATTTTGAATTTCAATTTGGAAAAAAGAGGTAAGTCCAAAAAATACACCAGAGTAACATACACTAATGCAGACTATTGTTCCACTTGACTTGTCTCCAAATTCCACTTTGTTTAGGAAATATAAGGTGAGCTGACTCTGTTTTCCATGTCAACGGAAAGTGATAAGTCGCAGAAATCCTCTACGGAGTCACCTTACACTTTTGATTTTTATTCCAAAACTTTACTAATGCTTTTTGAAATTATTAACATCTGCAACATTCATTTGTTTTGTTTTAGTTTTCCCTGCTAACAGTTTTTTGTTTCTCCTGAAAAATGGCCAAAATTGAGTTATCCCCTTCTTCCGCTTCCTGGATCATCTAGTAATTAAAAAAAGGGCAACGCCACCTCTTTCCTATTCAAAAATAGATAGAATTGCCAGAACCTAAAGACTAGGTATCTAATCCTTCGTCGTGAGGAGAATTTGGGAATGACTTGAAGTTTTGTGGGACCCTAGTCTTAGGGTATGAATTTATGTAATAGACAGGCACTTTCAGCCCTGACGTGAGACATCTGACACAAGTATTTACAAAATGTCGTATAGCCACTTTTTTCACTTTACAATAACCTTCTATGCTTGAGTCAAGCATAAAGTTACGCGACGATACGCTTAACGTATGTTAAATACTCATGGAATTCCTCCATGCATTTATAAAGGTGGAATTCTAGGGGGGAATCTATGCGGATGGGCCTGTTACGCTTCATTTCTAGCGTAACCTGATTACGATTGAAAACAGAGGGTAACACTACGTTTTAGTTTTACCAGAGTGATTTTTAGTTCTTTTGTGTCTTAGGTTTTAGTTAGCTGTTTGTCCGACACATAGGGCCTAGATTTCTTGTACTTGATACAAGTTCGCATAATTAGCATTTAACAGGTTTTATGAAAGGCACCGAAAGATACATTAGCAAACACTGATTATGAAGAAGGACCATTCCTACGATGAAAAGGCAAATGAACAACGTAGGTGAAGAAATCATGTTAACTCCAAATTAAGTATTTGGCTGAAAACTGGCATTTCCTCCATGGGAAATGCTACACCTCGCACTGCAAAGCAAACTGCATTCCAGTTTAGAAAAAGCGTTTAAAAATGTTTGTAACTGAAATAAATCTCTTGTAGGTTCACTGTTCTACAATGCAAATTGAAAGTTCATAGTGTGGTCAATTATTCTCACCTTCTGTTTTCTAATAGGGTATTTCCGCGAATCTTGAAACGGAAGTACGAAGAAAATAAGTAAGTACTCAACTTCCGTCCCCTAGCCTGTGGAGGGGCCGGAAGGGAGCCCTCTTTCCCCCTCCACAGGCTAGCACAAAACTGCTCTGCAATTTAATGGCCGTGGACTAGATGGGTTCCTCGCGAGATTTTCAACACAACTCCATTTTCGGAACTTTTCAATTGAATGAGGGGCTGGAATTCACTGGCCAGCATGCGAGCCATCGACCCCGCTGACCGTGTACGATGACGTCAAAGGGCAATGGAACCTTCCATTGTGCTGTTACGAGAGGTTGCTTCTTACGGCAAAAGTATTAATGCGTTTTCCCTCGACGCTGTGTTGAGGGGCCAGAATCATAAGCGCCCACAAGAATCTTGATGGGAACATACTTGACCCGGCCCCTTACTACAAGGACTGAACTTGATTTTAAAGCCTACGAAAACAGCGAACGCGCCAAACAGAAATGGCTGTGAGATGTCGGAGCCACAAGCTAGACCAGCAGACTGGTTGCATGTCACCCGCACGCCTGCGGCTCACGAAAGTTACTTCATTCGTCACGATTCGTTTTATGAAAAGCCTGCGGCCTCGATGCTGAACCGGCCTATGTGAAGCTGTGGATGTAACTGTAAACTAAAACGATTGGACTATAGAGTTTGGCCTATGGGGCTCGCTTCATATTGCTTAGACTAAGAGGCTGAGGCTGAGGCATATGGCTGAGACTAAGTATGCGCATATGAATATAGGATTAATAATAATGGGAAGATACCTCTCGTAAACTAAAGGTAGGGGGAGGGGAGCGGTCATTTCGAACGTTCAAATCTCCCAACAGGGTGCTTCGCTTAGCAATAAAAGGTATGAACCTGGATCTTATCCATTAAATCAAACCACGCACACGGATCGACCACGACCCATGGGCCAGTGTGAGACAGAATTGGAATTTCGAAATCCTAATCGTATCACTGTAAAAATTATTGTGAATTTACGAAAATTTTTGTTACAAATTCCTTGTAAAGTAACAATAACATTTCGTTATTTTATGGAATTTATTTGTAGAGGCCATTTTATGAATTATTCATCACATAAATCTTCTTAACTTTGTGAAATTTGTTCGTGAACACCGCCTTATTAAATGGTACAAACGAAATGCATTTCGAAGGTAGCGGTAATACTACAGCGAGGTCACCAAATTATGAAATGTTTCCTAAAATTACAACAAATGCTTGGGTGATTCCGTTGCACAAATCGCTTGTAAAATTGCGAGATAGGGTGATACCTTCGTCGTTTTACAAGATGTTTTATAAAACAAAAACCGCTGAAACAAGTTCATCTCCATTTAATCAGCGTGACAAGGTAGAACAAAAGCGGTCCACGTAATTGGGAGGAACGTGTAAAAAGTTTCTGATTTTATAAACTACTGTGGCAAGACTAAAACGTTGTAAATTTACAAATAATTCGTGCAACGAAATTACTCCTAAGTTGTTTGTAAATTTACGAACAAATTTTTAACAGTGATTGTTAGTCTATTTGCTGCGTGTTCGTACTACATTAAGGCCAGGGACAGGTGAAAAAATGAAGAAGTTTGTTGAAATTGAATGAAATGAGTTCTGGGTGGAAAATGGTCCTTTGGACCTTCCTCTTTCAGGATCTGTCGGGACTTCGACTATCCGGGACCTGGAAGTGCTTAAAATACATCTTTTCGCACACTCCTGCATTTACGACACTTTAGTAAAATTGTCCGTTTTGCCATCAAGGGGGGAGGGGGGGGGGGTCTAGCGAAAATCTTGCCATTTTCAAAATGAACCCCACTGTCATAATTTGTTGGGAATATGAAATCATACTTCAAAGAGACTAAGATTTGATTTTTGAAGGCATATGCTAGGTCTTGAACCCTGTCGAATTGTCTTTTTTGGACTGTTTTGGCTTTATTTAGCCGTATCTTGAACAATCCTCTTGCGCATACTATTTTGACGTAAAAGGCTTATCTTCACATTTTGCACTTCTTCGATTCATTTTAAAAAGATTCCAGCATGCCTAGTTCAAAATTTCCATTATATTAGTAATCACATGCTTTTTTCATCTAAGAAGTCACTAAAACTTGTCTATTTTGTACATTGTTGATCAATTTAAGTGAAATGCATGCTTTAGAAGCTTGCCAATGATAATGTAATGGACATTTTCAGTTGTGCATGCTGGGATCTTTTAAAAATGAATCGAAGAAGTGAAAAATATCCAGGTCAACCTTTTACGATAAAATAGTATGCGCAAGGAGATTTTTTTGGCTGAAAATCCATTAAAATCTGTCACCAAACTTTAAACGCCCTTTTCTCCGAAGACATTTTTTTAACATTTGAATGGTCCTGTGCGCATACAGTTTGAAGTGTCGTCGATGATATTTTTTCCACTGACTCAGTAGGTTATTGCGAGGAAACGCAAGTGACAGTTTTTGTAAATTCCACCCAGAAGTATGGTTTTGGATATCGGTTTTTACAAAAAAAGGGAAAATCTTTGGTTTTTGAAAAATATCAAAATTGAAAAGTTGGTATTTTGCTATCAGTGCCGGAAACTAAAATCTGTCACTTGCGTTTGTTCTTTGGACTTAGACGAACAAAAAAATATGTCGGTCAGGTCAATAACCCAAAATTGGAAACGCACAGGAATTTTTTAACAAACACTTAAAAAATTATAAAAAAGCCTGTATCTCAGGAACCGCTTGATATTATGGGATGGGATTTTGGGTGAAATAGTTTATCATCAAGAGTAAGATTTTGACAGAAAATAAGAAGTTTTGGACCAGCAGTTTCTGAGATCATTTTTTCACCTGTCCCTGGCCTTAATAGTCTGACTTGTTGTCTCGACTAGACAACGCCCGCAGACGCCAACAAGTTCATTCAACGTAAGTAGGCTATTAGGGTGAAACTTAAAACCCTCGCATCTGTTATAACTGCCCCGCCCGGGGCAGTTCGTAACAGCTTAAAGGAAGTCATCAAGGGCCAGTCAGGGCCGCATACAAAACTCAAATAGTCCCAAATAGACTCAAATAGATCTCGCCATACAAGTGCTGACATTTATTTTCACGGTCATTTTCAATATTTAGTATTTAGCAAAAACTAAAACAAGGCAGGTGTACGCCACACCGTGTCATGTCGTCAGAGTCTTTGCGCTGGTGTGCCAGTTACGACAATACACGCCTGGCGCTTACATTTACCTTGGCCTGCGGCGCTTCCTGCTTGCCTTCGGCAAACCGTCACAGGACTTTCAGTTAAAGCAATACGTAGATTACTCCGCGATAAAAAAATTTCAAAAGTTTACCGCAATAAAATTTTCAGTCGACCCCCTTTATTCAAGATACAAATCTGGCCAGCTGCCAAGTCGGGCCCCTGGACCCCCCTTACGACCCCTCGTTGGAAAGGTCGTGGCAAGATCTATCGAAAACAGCACTAAAATTTTTCTGTCGGTCGACCCTCTTCATCCGAGATCCTGATCTGGCCAACTCGTGGAAGCGGCTGACATTTTTTTTGTATCAGTTGTCGGAACTAGGGCCAATGAATAGACACGAGTGGAGAATATGAAAAAGAACAAAAGCCGGACACAGTGCATAAAAGTCGCTCACTTGTTCATGTAATGGGTTCATTTGGGTTTTAAAAATTGTTAAAAGCTGGTCAAAGACGAGTTTTATGATTTTAAACCGCAGATGAGACCTTTAAAAATTTTTGGCCAGCTTAGAGCATTTTGGCCTATTTTCACAAGAAAACACCCCAAAATCCGATAAAAACTGCGAAAATAGCCAGTTTTGGTGTGTGATTACCAATGATTACTGGACGAAGTGTACACATGATTACTAGAGTGGCTGACCCCTCGCCGCACCACTAGCTTTGTGCTCTGAGTCTCGGCCTGCCGTTTGGTGGGCTCTCTGCGCGACCGACCGATTATGCTGCAGGAGGACAACTAAGGGAAGGTGGGGTACCATGTGGCGGTTTTTGTTAAGTGCCCGTCAACCCAATAATACCAATCACATTACATCCATAGGTCATGTGAACAAAATGATTCTTCATCTTTTCATTTCCGTTGAGATTTCTAATTTATCTGTTTTGGTTGCTGAGTTATCCCGAGTTGAATGGGCCTAAGTCAAAGTGTCACTTCCCACCCCACGTAGTACACTATGTGACAGCCTTAGTGCACCATGTGACAGTGGCCTTTTGTCAGGGTTTAAATCCTATTCAGCGTACCTATACGCAAAGAATGAATGAAGAAGTCCTCCAGCTATTTTCGTTGAGTTTATCAATTTATCATCTGTGGTGCAATGAAGGTTTTTGGCTGAGCGATAGCGAAGCCCGTTACTCAGGTGGGGTTGAAAAGTTTTGTCTGTCTGTCTGTCTGTCCGTGTGTCTGTCTGTCAGCACTACTCCTCCTGAACGGCTCGGCCGATCGTGCTGAGATTTTGCACACTATTTGGGTATGTCCTTGGCTCGGCACACGCGAAATTTCACTATCCTAGCTCAACTGGTTCAGTTTTTATAGCCGAAAAACACCTGAAAAACGGCGAAAAATCGAGTTTTCTGCAGGCAAATGCCTTCCGCCTTGAAGAAGAGGGGGTCAGAGGGCAGAGCCCCCCAGCGCCGACAAGTTGAAAAGTAACAAGGGTCAAGATCTTGTTATCTGTAGATGCAGCATTCCTATCTGGAATAATGGGGGCCTGGGGGCGGAGCCCCCCAGTATGCAACAATTTAGAAGTAACCGACAATGGGCAAGCCATGGCCTGCCGAGAAGGCAGGCTAGCGCCTCAGGCCAAGTAGGTACGCCAAGGCGCGTATTGGAGGAACAGGCAGCGAGACATCGCGAAGCCTGTTACGACAAGACGCGATCTGGCGTAAACCTACCTTGTAGTTAATAGTGTACAAATGTCATGGACTGAACACATTCAACTGAGTGAATCGTGGAATCGCATAGCGAATGTCAGTGGTGTCACATGGTGCCCAAATCAACAGTTTTAGGGGAAACGGCAATAACGCTCAAAGTTTATGCCGTAGAGAATCGAGCCAAAGCTTATTTTCTGCTTAAAACATCAAAAGAGAACATCTTGCATAGCATTTGTCCTTAAAACGTATTTTGAAGGTAAAAAGCGGACGCGGCGGGAAATAGAAAAAGTTTTCAATCAGCTATTTTAAGACGGTTTCCAATTCTGATCGCTACCATTCCCGTCCTTTTTGAGAGAGAGAGACTTCTGCGGGGGGGGGGGGGGGGTAATGGCCGCGGAGCCTAGAGGCTCAAGTTAGCCAGGGGATTAAAGGGGAGGGGGGAGTGTGGCGGGGAGTTTAAAATTTCAGGAGAGGGTTAGAGGCAAGAAGGTCAGCTGTGGCAGGCAGGGCGGCGAGGGGATGGTCCATGATGTCGTGCAGTGACGGGGCGAGGTCTGCTTTGATCTTTTCATCTTCAAAGAAGGCACGATCTGTCATGGGGCAGGCATCGATGAAGTG